TTAGGTTAACTTGAATTAACTCAAACCATCTTCATTTTAACACATATTGAGGAGACAATATACTTCTTAATCTACATAATTACTCTGAAACCTAACAAAGATAACTCTTTGAATTAAAGCTAAAATAAATTAAGCCGTAGTCAAAATAAAGTAGAATAAAATATATAGAGATAATTAAAAATTGCTAAGAAATTTTACTTTTGCTCGTTATGAAAAACCTACATAATAACATAATGTTTCTCTAAACTCTCCAAAGAAACAACTTTGATCAATGCATTAGTTGAATTGAAGTTACTATCAATCTTGATTAATCCAATTCTTTCATTCAAAATTGCATGTTTGATAATATGATACATGATAACAATGTGTTTCACTTTGCTGTCCATCACTTAACTAGCAGCAGGATGTAATGCACTTTGGCTATCACAGTGAAAATTGACAATCTCTTGCTTCAATCTCAATGAGAAACTTATGCAATCAAATAGCTTATTTAATCCTTCTACTACCACTACATATTTAGCTTTGGTTATGGATTGAACTACGCATTTCTGCAAAGTGTATCTTCAACTAACGTATCTATCATCAAATGTAAATACATGTTCAATTGTAGATCTTTTCTGATCAAAAAATTGTTCATAGTTAGTATTAACGTAGTCTAACAAGGATTTGACATTGTATTTTAAATCATCAAAGAATAAACTCTGAACCCTAATCCTTGGTACTCTTCAAATATTTCAAACTTCATTTCATTGCTCTCTAATGCACCTTTACTGGATTATACATGTATCTGTTCACCTTGATCATCGCTAGAGCAATATCATGTCTTGTGCACGTCATCAAATACATGAGTTATTCATAGCTTTATCTAAAAAAACACATGACATCTTTACTTTCTCAATAACATTGGTTAAATATCAAGAAGCAAAAAATTTAAAAGTACTATTAAAAGTATTCTTGCTTTTTTTTAATTTGTGATGTTGAAACTCTCCAATACATGTTGAACGTGCTTGTTTGATTCAATCATGTGCTCTTTTTCACCTAATAGTCTTAGACTTATTCATTTACTTCTTTCATGAATTCATCAGATCGTGCATTCTACTATCTAAAGTTTGATTCAATCCATATAATGATTCCATCAATCTACAAACCGATTTCTTTTGACATTTCTCCTCAAATCAACAAGTTGTTTTCAATAGATATCATATTCTACAAATCCATAGAAAAATGTTGTAACTACATACATTCATAACAATACTATATATTGCATCAAGTGCACATATTAAACAAATTGTAGCATATTTTTCTACATGAGATAAAACTTTGTTTTTTGTCATTATTTGAACTTTTGTTCACCTTGTGATTAAAATGTTTGATGAAGTCAGCTCAGTGTTCATCATTGATTGTAAGTATTCCCATTTTAATGCCACCTTCTTTTTTCAGTGGAGTTGTTTGTGTTGTTTGTAGCACTTAGGTTTCCAACAAGCTCTCATGATATATTTGCAAATTAATTTCTTGAAGGAGCAAAAATTCTTTCATTCACAAGGTCAAATACGCGCATCAATTGCACAGCTTTGATATCAATTATGCTCATGAAAATCAATAAATTCACAAGAAAAAAACCAACGACATAAAAAATATGTGATTTGTCACTATTAAGCTATGTTCACGGGAACAACAAGTCTTTCATTGAAAAAAATTAAAATTATTTGAGTTTAGTATAACTAAATCCAAGTTATACTATCTCAACTAAGTTAGTATAACTAACTTACTTGAATCAACACTAATAAGAAAGTGAAATTTCTTAGGCTTTGCAGTCTAACAAGTACAAATCTTCAATAACATATGTTGTTGAAGAAAGATTGATTATTATATGATTAATGATATGAACCAAGGAGATTTTGCAAAAAAGATGCAGCAAAGTATTAGAAAGCTACTATTGAAGTACCATAATATCATTAATGGGACTTAAGTATGCAAACTAGACAATAAAGATCAACGAAAATTGTTTACTAGAAGATCATCAAAATGGATTAATATTGCTATTTCAGAGATGATTTAGTAAGTCAAACATTTATTCTTGAAGATTGTGATATTGATATTGAGTATGTATGATAACATTGGGTTGGTCTTGGAAAATCCACTTCCGGTAATATTTAAGGTGATTACGAATTAGATTGATGTAGTTATAGCAGTTTTCTATGATAATCTACAGAAAAAAATCTACATGATACAAAAAGTTTTTTTTGAAAAGATTGATTAAGAAAAAACTTTTCTAGATTGATAAATATATTATATTAATTGAAACAAGCTTTTAAGCAATGGAATGCGAGGTTTAATGAATTTATGAAATAACAAAAATTTACATTGAGGATGTTTGATCTAAAAGTATACCTGTAGAAGTAAAATAATGAGATCTTCTATCTCATTATTCTAGTATTTTACGTGAATAACATGCTCATTTTGACAAAAAATCAATTTGATGTTAACCAGTATGTAAAATGAAAGATTTAGATATATCCAAAACATTATTAGGATAAATTATATTTACAAGAATTTGGAGAAGGAAAAATATGACCGAATCAAGAAAAATATGTTGAACATGTGCTTGAAAAAATTAACATGATAAATTTCAAAACAATAATTACTTATTTGACAACATACAAAAATCATTCAGGAACTCAATGTTCAATCAATGTCATCGAATATGGAAAAAAGTCATCAATATCATATGAATAAGTTGTGAACAACCTACTATATTTGATCATATGCTCAAGATTTGATATTGTTGTAATTATAAGAATAATGAACATGTACATATAAAATCTTTAAAAGATGCGTTGAGAAGCAATGAAAAGAATTTTGAGGTATATGAATAGTATTAAGTATATGATATATTGTTTGGTGATTTCTTTGACAATGTGAACTCTTGCTAGTATAAATTGATGTTGATTATGAACAAAATTTGGACAAGAAAAAATAAATTTTATATTTACACTTGGTAGTGGATACATTAGTTGGAAATCTGTTTGAAGAAAGTGCATTGTTCAGTTCACAATGAATATTAAATATGTAGTGGCAATAGACTCATCAAAGTAAGCTATTCGTCCACACAAATAGTGAAATCTTTTTTTTGTAAAGATTTCACTATTACTCTTATATATATATATATATATATAGAATATCAAAACCTTAATTCTAAACCAAACTTTATCTCAAATTAGCTAAATTTGTATTCAATCCGAGACTTATTGACTATTTATAATCTACTCTTTAATTCATGTTGTGAAGATTGTAAACTTCATAATTTATATAATTACTCTGTGGAAAGTATTACAAAAACACCTAACATAGGTTACTCTTTAAACTAGAGTCTAATAGAACTTAGAGTTAGCCAAAACATAATAGAGTAAATATATATGGAGTTAACAAAAGTTGCTAGTGCATTTTACTTGTGCTTCTCATAAATCACTTGCATAGAAATAAAATGTATACCAAAACTCTCCAAACACATTATTGTAGTTAATGTAAGAGTTGAATTGAGTTTAAAATGAATCTTGACTTGGTCATTTTTTTTATCACACATTTGATATTCTAATAAAACTATGTTTTTGGCCAGTCGAAATCAAATCACATAATTTTTTGTTTGCGTTGTTTTCCTATTTTTGGTGTAAGCGTGAAGTTTTTTCAATTTTACTCGTGCATTTCATGTTACAACATGAATTTTTGTGTTTTCTGTAATAGATATTCCAAAAAATCAAGTGTTGGTTGAAATAAAATGGATGTAGAAGCCAAAAAAAAATTTAATGTATGATGAGATCAAAATATTCAAAGCTAGGTTTGTAACTTCACATAAGTAAATACGATGGATTAAAAAATTTATTATCACTTGTATTCTAAAAGTGCACTTATTAATATTATTACAAATTGACTAATATGTGCATTTTTTGATGCAATAAATATTCTATGTATGGATCATATGGATGTAATTACAACAATATTCTATCAATATTTGAAATTTTAAATGTATGTAAAAAATTGGATTAAAAAAGAAAATTTAAGATAAACTGGTTTGTAAAATTTTAAAATCGCTGTATGGATTCAAATAAAAAATAGATAGTGAAATGAAAAATTTAATTGATATATGAAAGCACAAGGATTTTCATCTCGTGTGTTTTTATCCATATTTTGTACTAACTAGTCTCTTTTCATATAGCTAACTAAATCTTGTAGAGACATAAACTTAGGATATATTTAGAAAGAAGTAATTGTGTTTAGGTGAACATGATACAACAAGTTGATTCACATTAATTGGCTGTTGACTTTCTATGTTGTGTGTGTTTTTATTATGTATGTAATTTGAGTTCAAAGTTTTACCAACAAGTTAAACAAAACATGAATTAATTAGTAAATTTCACTTTGGACATGTGATTTTCAAGATGTATATGTATTGTAGAGCTAAAATCAACCATGGAATGTATTATGGACTCATAACTTGCCACACATTGCTATTGCTATGAAGGTGTAAATATTGAACAGGATGTTCATGCAAACTAACACAATATTATCACTACATGATGAAACCATTGATGGAAAATTTCAAATAATAATATAAATATTTATTACTTATATTGTTGATCTATATACCTTGTTTTAGTGCACCAAGACTCTCGGAGGCTGCCAAGTTTTCATTTGTTGGGAATTACAATATATGATATGACGAAACTAAGAATTGAACATCTGGGACGCTTTGGCCGAGTGGTTAAGGCGTGTGCCTGCTAAGTACATGGGGTCTCCCCGCGAGAGTTCGAATCTCTCAGGCGTCGTCCCAACCCGTAGACCTTTTAGAAAAGTCCTCTACTGGGACAAGCCCGTTAGAAGGTCGTGGCGTCCCGGGAAAGCGACGCACCGGATGAGGCCTTCACCTCCCTCCCATGTTCCAGGAACCGCAAGAGCAATCTATCCATTGGCTATCCGTTCGTTCAGGTCGCTGTATAAAGAACGGAGTGCCCGAGTCTTGGCGCTCGCAGGTCGGTGGCTCACTCAACCACAGTCAGGCCCCAGCAGCCAATGCGCGGCTGCTGCGGCTGGCATGGTCGGGTCGCCTGCCATGGTCACTTTCGTCGTCCGCTTTGCAGTGCAACAGGAATCGCCATCGAGCCTCATAATGACGGAGCCGGTGGGCCCCGGGCCTCGAGGCAGGCCTGCAACTTTCTAGGAGGAGGAGGAGGAGGAGCAGCTAGTGCAAGATTTTGGCGTGAGAGCTGTGAAGCAGTGGCGATCTGCTGCTCTCGTGGAAAAGTTGCCCTGCTGTGCGGCCTGCTCGTCGAGGTCGTCGAGGTCGTCGAGAGCGCGAGAGAGAAGCAGAGAAAAAACTTTCTAGGTACGCCATGCTTTCCGCCTCCGCCTCCGTCCCCCGTCACCTGCGGAAGGTGGTATCGACGGATTGGTTGATTGATTGAGTCTGTGAGCGAGGGAGTGATTGATTGAATGATTGATTGATTGAAGGAGCGCGAGGCAGAGTAGAGTTCGAGCGGAGGGAGGATGATGTATCGCGATTCCCGAGGGGTGGAGGATGTGAGCTCGAAGGCGGGCCTGGGAAAGCTGCTTTTGAAGTTAGGGTGACACTCCTCGGTGGTCGGAGGTTGTCGGAGTAGGCAGGGGAGGAAGAGGAGGAGGAGGAGGAGGAAGAGGGAGGTGGGGACGCTCGACGGACTACTTGATCCTTTGAGAGGGGGAGCAACGAAAGTATTGAACTTCTTTTCCCAGGTCGTCGGACGAGCAGGAGCAGCAGAATCTGATTATCGGAGATCAGCTTTGCGAGCACGGGCTTGAAGTGATCTATCACTCGTTGCTCATCGTTGGCATCGTTCGTGGAGTGTGAGGATCGACTCCGGCGTCAGGAAGCTGTGGTGCGTCTCTCGTCTTCGTTTCGTCATTTCCATCTATGAAACGGTCGGTGCCTGAGTGAGTGAACGACATGGAGATGGCGACCCGTGGTAGCGTGCAAAACGGATGGGAGGATTTGCGAATGCGGAGGAGAGCGCACTTGGTCGGATGGGCGTGGGGAGATTACAGATGACGACTCGTGGAGGCTGAGGGCGAGGGTGACGTCAAGGTTCAGGTCTTCAGAGGGGATCGCGAGTCTCGAGGGTTGGCGGGGCGATCTGTAGGAGTTACAGTAGCAGCAGGAGCAGCAGAAGCAGCGACCATGAGTGGATCCGTGAATGAGTCGTCGGCTGAGAACGGCAAGCCATTTGCGTCTTCAGGTCATGGAGGGCGAGCCAAGCTTTCCATGCTGCCCTTGGTGGCGCTGATATTTTACGAAGTATCGGGAGGCCCGTTTGGTGTGGAGGACTCAGTGAGAGCAGGAGGCCCACTCCTTACGATTTTAGGATTCATAATATTTCCCCTTCTGTGGAGCGTTCCGGAGGCCTTGGTTACCGCGGAATTGGCCACTGCATTTCCTGAGAATGGTGGATATGTCGTCTGGATTGCTGCAGCTTTTGGGGATTTCTGGGGTTTTCAGGAAGGCTGGTGGAAATGGCTGAGTGGTGTGATCGACAACGCTCTGTACCCAGTTCTCTTCCTGGACTACCTCAAGCGAGCACTCCCGGAATTTGGACACGGTCCTGTTAGGTTGTTTTCACTCGTCATGCTCACGCTTTTTCTAACTTATCTGAACTACCGAGGGTTGACCATCGTGGGATACACGGCCGTCGCCCTCACCATCTTCTCGTTACTTCCCTTCGTCGTCCTGGCAGTTCTGGCCATACCGAGAATCAAGCCCGAGAGATGGCTGGTGATTAACTTGGCCAACACAGACTGGCGAGGGTTTATGAACAACGTGTTTTGGAACTTGAACTACTGGGACTCGGCCAGCACTTTAGCTGGAGAAGTGGACCAGCCGAGGAAAACGTTTCCCAGGGCCCTGGGTCTGGCCGGCGCGCTGGTGATGCTCGCTTACCTCGTCCCATTGTTAGCCGGAATCGGGGCGGTCGACAGCCTACAATCAGAGTGGACGGATGGGTACTTTGCAGACGTCGGTCTGGCGATCGGAGGGGCAGGACTCGCATGGTGGATTACAGCTGCTTCGGCCATGTCGAATTTAGGTCTTTTCCAAGCGGAAATGAGCAGTGACTCTTATCAGCTGCTTGGAATGGGTGAGAGGGGAATGCTTCCACAGGTTTTTGCATACAGATCGAAGTACGGCACTCCAGTCTTGGGTATCCTGTGCTCTGCAACCGGAGTGCTTCTGCTCTCGTGGATGAGTTTTCAAGAGATTATTGAGTGCCTCAATTTTCTGTACTGCCTCGGTATGCTTCTAGAATTTGCGGCTTTCATTCGGCTTAGAATGAAGCAGCCGGAGCTTCCCCGTCCATTCTACATCCCTCTGGGTACTGTGGGAATCACCATACTTCTAATCATACCCTCAGTATTTCTCATCCTCGTCATGGCCATTGCTTCCATGAAGACTGTAGTATTTGCTGTTCTAATTTCTGTGGTTGGATTCTTAGCGCATCCGGCCCTTGAGTACATGAAGGAGCACAGGTGGATGAACTTCGTAAACTTGGTGGAAAATGAGAACTCATTGTTGTCCTCTGAAGAGGAAGCAGGCCTCCTCTATTCTTCTGGAGGAACTCTCGACTCAAAGAGTCAAAAATGACTATGACTGCAATTTTAGTAGAGTTATGCATATATAGATTGTAGGAAAGAAACTCATCATTCAACTCAGCGTAGTTTTTTCCCATTTAGAGATTTGCAAGGCGAATGAGTGCTCCACTTTTGTACATGTCAACCCTTGGTGTACCGTAACTCCTTTTAATCATTTCCCGCCTTTTGTACCTTCTACATTTGCCTCTGTGCCTCCTTAGTTTGTATACTGTGAATGTGAATGATTAAAGTTCATCCTCAGTGATTGTTGAGTTTCCGAGTTTTCTGAATACTTCAAGTTATCAACTCGTGTGGTATAAAGCGAACCAACATGAGGATGTGAAGAGCAGATTTTTGTTGGGTCAATTCACGACTTGTAAACGTAGGTGGTTCAGAGAATACACCATATAATTCTAATCAGAGGAATAGCATTAGCATATCACGGAATGTACGCATCAGCTAGACAACTAATCGACTTCTGTTTTTGATGAATGTAAATATCCTGTACATAAGCATCCTTGATGCGTGTGGCATACAGTAATCATTAGCGGATAATTAGAATTGCCACAGATTTTCTGGTGCTGCTGATTATAATTTGCAGAGTGATCACGTGTACCCATTAGTATGCGTGCACACCAGGGAACATGTTTCGTTGCTGTCAGCTCTATGAACACCTTTCAACAACGAAGTACCTCTCACTCCATACCCGTCATTTCCTTCTGCAGAGATGGGAACTCATCACCATGGACATCCGTAGTGGATAAACCTAAACAGGATCATAGAATGTATTTTGCTTCGCCCTATTCACAGGTGGAAATAGTATTTCCTAAATAGACTACCGTGAAGGAGAATAAGTCAGGTCTCACGAGTAGTAAAAAAGAAATGGAATAAGAAGAACGATGGCATATATAACATAACATTCAACTGAGAACGAAGCCCAGAAGCCCCCGTCCAGATAACAGAGACTGACGAATTAGCAGTACTTGTCCTGACAAAAATATTTCCCAATAAGCTCGCAAGATTTGATGGAATTTGTGGTTTCCTCACCCATCTTTGATCCTGAGCATTTTCCCATCTATATGTGGAGTGACCGTTTGCTGAAGTCTGATACAAACACGGAGTTGCCCAGATTTATTGAAAAACATTCTTGAACTTAAGAAAGAAAGTGGCAATTGTGATACTTGTAATCATGGTCCAGTCGTGGGAATCATCCACATCACTCACCAAGGCCCCATGCATCCATCTAGTCACGAACAAAGATATGTACCCACAAAGAAACACATCATATATGAAGCTTGCATTTCTGTAGTCAACGGGATGAACGAAATGTACCCTTCAACGAACTCACTATAGATCAATAGTCACTATCGTTCACGTTGACAACTCGGTAGGGCATCCGAATATGCATAATGGGGTGAGATGATGTAAAATAGCCATTGTTGACGACAATTATTGACCATCAGTACATGAGGCAGACTGCAGTTTCGTCATTGACATCGGTGCATGAGCATATTGTTGCAACTGGTACAGAATATCTATCATCATGGAAGCTCCTGCATTGCGTTATACTCTACAAGGTTCGTGAGCAGTAAACATCCCACCTCTTCCTGGATGCCAGATACTTAGCTCCCCTCCCGAGATATGCTCATCTTCTTGGATCTATTCTGGTCACTGTTGCATCACAACACACCTTCTCCAGTCGGAGCTTCTAACCCACAAAACTTTCCCGTGGCCTTCTGACGTGGATAGAAACCAGCTGACGTATAGACGTACTTCTTGCGCGTCCATGCCCAACATTGCTGCTGGCGCGTGACTGGAAAGACATAAATTTTTCCGGGCCGTCAGCAGGTCACATACTATTGACATGATTTGCAATCTTTGATGAGAGGAATGCATGCAAGCATTAAAATTTTCAAATTCGTTGATAGTTAGTAGTTTGCGACATGTGTTAATTATACTTCACTTCTTTCCCTCGCTCTGAGTTTCATTTTTAAATACTCAGGATTTAACTTTTCTGCAAAATTTCAGTCACAAACTCTCCCGTTCATCCAATTTTTCCTGTTTGACTTCGTGTAGAATACATCTCATCGAGCACTGGAAATCTTGTGTTCCTAGCATCCCAATTTCAACATTTCCCGTCTCTATTGTGTGGGCCAAAGAATACCTCATCCATACTGTTCTGTGTGGGGATAGATTGCCGATGTGTTCTCCATTCTGTCGAGATCAACTGTGCGAGGGGAGAAGGATCTCAGTCAAATGCTGACTTGTTCCGACCGCTAGAGTGGCATATGGAGATTCGCTCAGCTAGAGTCTCGGGAGAACACGCGAGAGAGAGTACAGAGGGTTCACATATAAGTAGCCTTCGTCGGTTTCACCGACTAAATTTACTGTACGAATTTAAATCTTAAAAGAAAGTGGCACCACAGGAGAGGATGGTGGCGTCTCCGTAGTGCCACAGTCCACACATAATGAGTTGGAGCCCGCCAGAAATCGCTAACACACAAGCAAGATCGGCGTTTTATGATCTATAGACCACCACCACCCTTGAGAAGCTGTCGATGGTCGCCAACTTCGACCTCCCGGATCAAAAAATTTGGATGGCTCTCTGGGCCTGGGATTGCTCGTGAACGGGAGGAAGTTGCGTAGAGGGAAGACACGGGGAACTTCCTCTACAAAAATCCTTTCACAGGAACCTCAAATGATTCTACCATACAAGGAAGACGAACTTTATAATACATGGTTCTCAACCAGCTCCATCGGTTGATTCAATGGGAGCTATCTACATTTATGTATCCACGGTGGTACTGGCCCGGAATTCACCTCTACCTCACTAATTGAAAAATTGGCCTCGCAATCGTCGGAGGAGTTTGCAACGTAGAGAAAAAAATGATATTGACTCGTTCGAGTCCAATGGAATCCGCTCACGCGCTCAGGGATCTTCCCAATATGAACCAGGTGGTTGTCAGGATAGCTCCAACGCTGGTATGAACGAAAAATCGGTCCAAAATAAAACCATACACGGAAATCCCAGCCACGGAGGTCGACAGAAAATTCACTAGTGCAGCTCGGCGTGCACAGGCGTCCTGTCGTTGGCAGTACTGCTCCAACCTTTCGAGCAAGACTTTGCTGGGATACTCTCCGCCATCTTCTGAGATTTTGGGCATTGCGGGCGACGAGACCGGCAGCATGCCGAGCGTCCGCTCGGCGTGAATGAACGAGGCTCGTTTCACGATCCGTCGGTGCAGGTGGGCGATTTTCGACGCAGATCTCAGACACAGCCACGCGCCCGTGAGGTTCACGACGGTCAACACGACGAGCTCTCCCCACAGGCACAGCGAGTACTGCTCGTGGAACGTATTCACCACCTCGTACATGGAGATTAGGGCGCCGGAGACAGAAATCATGCCCGTGAACGCCAGAAAGTGTCGAAACCGGTGGCTGGTGTGCCCGAGGTCGCGAATGATGCGGTCGTACTCGAGCACGTAGTACTCGGCGTCCAAGCCCAGAGTGAGCATTTCGTAGTACTGCCGCATTTTGAGCTCTTGCAGCTTGCAGACCTTCCAGAAGAGAACGCACGCGTAGAGATAGGTCGTGGTTTGGAACATCCACGAGAGCCCCGTGAAGACGACGATGATGAGCAGGTCCGCGACCTTGTTGTGGATGGAGAAGGGCAGCGGCTTGAGATCGACTTGCGAGTAGAGCCAGGTGAGCTGGCAGACGTAGAGCAGGAAGGCCGGCACGAAGAGCTTGACGAGCATTGTCGACCCGAACTCGATGACGGTGTCGTAATCCTTGCGCACCTGCGCGACCTCGGCCGCCACCGAGTCGAGGAAGAGCACGCCGCGCAGGCCGTGCTTGCGGATGGCGTAGCTCAGAAACACGAACGAGACCAGCGACCGCGAGACGCCGATGACGATCACCACCGGCTGGAACACGAGCTGCCGCTTGGGCAGGTCCGACTGCGACTTGACGAACAGCACCTTGCACACCGGCACCACCACCAGCAGCAGAAGCCCGACGATGTACGACACGAAGCCCCAGCTCGAGGCCGTGTGGTCGAGCTGCAACGTGCGCACCGTCTTCTGCACGCTCCGCAGCCGGATCAGCGACGGCGGCGACGGCTCGCGCGTCGACGGCCCCCTCTCCATCGCGTCCCAGGTCGGCTTGAGATGCACGTTAATGTGGTCCACATCCCTCCCGCTCTTGCTGAACGGGAGCAGCAGCGGCGCGGCGGTCGTCGTCTCACTCATGCTTCCGGCCCAGTTCCCCGAGCATCCGTCGGCCTAAATTCTCCTCCGCCAGCCGAATCCCGGCTCGCATCCAGCCCGATCCGACCCAATCCACTCCAATCCACTCCTCCTCGAGGGAATCCCCGACTTCCTCCGCTCCACCTGCTCGATCGATCAATCGCTAGCTCGCTCGCTCGATCAATCTATCGATCCGACGAAATCGATCTTGATGTTGATGTCGAGGTCGATGTCTGCCTTCCCGGCTACACTACGCTCCTCGGCGCACGCACGCACGAGCGAGACGACACCGATCGAATTCGGCCGATTCGAAATCAGGCCCAGGTCCGCAGAATGCACTGCGCAGAAGCCACTCGCTCACAGGAAGTGGACGGAGTGAACCCGTGGGCTAACAGTGAGCGATTGTTTATACTGGAGCAATGGACAAGACAGGGCCGAGCACGGCCGATGGACACGGGCGCAGATGAGAGCACCGGCGAGAATTCGGGGCGAGGGCGAGTGTGAGGGTGAGAAGGAAGCGCAGCTCGACGAGCGGGTTATATTTTCCGTGCGCGCCTCGGGCTCCTGAGATTGCTCGCGCGACAGATCCAGGTCGTGGGCCAGCCATGTGTCCGCCGCGCCGTGGTCAACCGGCGTCGCACCCGGCGATCCACGTCGGCGTGTGGATACTGAGGTGGCAGGTGGGCGCACAGGACAAGTGTCGTCCGCGGTCGGGTGCCGAGGCCGCTCCCTGCCCCCGACAGTTCTCCGCTGTCACCACATGCAAGACGGAGGCCACGACGGGCCGCGCCAAAGAAAGCAGTCCGGCAGCGGCCCATTCGGATGAGCCCCTTTCCCGGTCTGCGAGCCATGGCCGTGACTCATCGCCCCCTGTCAGACGAATCTTCTCTCCCTCGATCTGGGCTGCCGCTTTTCTCCGCCCTTGTCCCTTATCGTAATATGGCACTTGTCGCCTCCAGCACTCTCTCTCTCTCTCTCTCTCTCTCTCTCTCTCTCATTCATGGGATGGGATGGTCCTCGACCAGGCAATGAGTGCGGCCGCCCCTTGTCTCCTCTGCTTTCTCAGAGGTGTCGCTCTGGACCGGTCACGTCGGATTCTAGTTCTTACAGTTTCCTATTCGCTTTGATTGAGGACGTTCCGGGGCGACGGCCGGGCGTGAAAAGTACCCCATCGACCATTTTTTGCAACAAATTGCTCGGGAGCGCGAAGCTCGGTGGAGAAGCCGCATGTGAATGGGTCGGCTGATCGTTGGAGCTCGCAGAAGCTAGGCAGGCGTTTCGAAGGGAGGGAGGGAGGGCCATTTCGGTCCTTCGGGACCCGGACCTCGAACGATCCACTTGAATCAGAGGCGTGCAGCGAGAGTGGTGGTCAAGACACCCGAAGCCCATGCGAGGTTGAGGTTTGTATCGTGAATGGCTTCTGAGTCGTGGGTCCCGTATGGGCCTCCTGAAGATTGGGCTGATTGAATTGCGGGCATTGTCTAATTCCTGAATCCACACAACGGGGAGAGAGGAAGTCGGGACTGACGACGACGAGACACGGCCGCGGTGGTGTTTGACTAGTCAGATAGGCAGTGAGCAGCTCTTTGCTGCCCTCCCTCCATTGCAGTCCCCCACCTGTAGCTTTACGGTATACGAATCTGATTAGCTCGAATTAGATCACAGTCAGCCCCTCGTAGATATGATCTCTCTCAGTCGGTCTCCACTTCCTCATCGCACAAATTGTGTGTTATCTCAAATATTCTTCACTGTTTGACGGCACCCAAATCGGCAAATCTCCGAGAGGGAAAAATAACATGATTTTCAATGACAGCCTGCAAATATAGCTTGGCGCCATGAATCCTCTTCTGCCAGATAGGCCACACAAGCAAGACATGACTTTCCCACTGTCTGAACTGGATGCTACCACAGCTCTCGGAAAGTTTATCTCTGTCCAGGTGTAAAGCCTGGACGAGTTTGGCGTGCGGTTCCAGTTGAGAAGAGAGCCTCGACCGATCTGGGCTGACGGACTTTGCCCACATTTTTACTTCTCCCCGACCTACCCCATTGTCTGATTCTGCTTGGTATATGCTAGAAGGATCTGCCTCCTTCGCTTGGCGTTTCCCACTCACAGACGAGAGCGTTCAGCCACAACTGTATTATATTTTTGCGTGAGCACGAGCACGAGCACATGGAAGCAAATGACGTGTGGTTTAGTCACCAACATCCCAGAATGCTGGAAAACATGCAATTTATATTTCCTGTACTCATTCCTCCCCCTCACCTTCCGCGGTCACTTTCCCGTGGAAAGGAGTCAAGTCTCGTCGCTAGAGCTTGCCGGTCGATTGTGTGCTCCATCCGTTGGACGACACAGGTTACGGCCGAAACATTCGGCCGAAAACGCAGCACGCCTTTCCATGGCGTGCAGAGGTGATCTCGGCCACAAGTGTCCAACCGGTTGATTTGATATTTGACCCCTGAAACTAGCAACGACGGATAAAATCTTGCTCACAAGCGGACAAGATTGAGGTCTCTGGAGATACTGCGTTAGATCGACAAGATTGTTGGTACGAAGAGTGACAGTTGGCAAAAACGACGACAAACCTTTTTCAAGTCGAGGCCTTCCTACCATTCCGTGGGTAAATATATGCCATACCATGGCTATTTAATCATGTTCTTTAATAAAGACCAAAAAGTACAAAGCGCTTAGGGCTTAGTTGCAACAGGAAAGAAAGTATAATAGCCCCAAATAGTAGGATGTGCCAAAAGTAAACGGGGAGCCAAGCAAAAAGGATGGGGATCAAACTATTTAAGGATGAAAGCAAACGAGTGAACAAGGCCAGGCCCCAGATGTAGATAAGGTACATCAAAATGTAAGAGTGGACACCTAAATTTATGTCGAGTTCTCGGGGAGAAATGCAGACATCAAGTAGAGTAGATCCCTGATAACTTTCCCGGTAATAAGTCCTTTAGAGAAGGGGATCTCAACTAAGCCTCGGTAAGATAACCTTTTAGAGTTACCAGCAAAGGAATAAAAGTTAGAGGTTTGGCTATAGGCACAGTAATGCTTATGGTAAAGATAGAGCTATATGGATTATCTGATAATTCTGAGGTAACCGTTTATTGTCCAGTCAGCAAAAAGGTCTACCTGAAAAGTGAGAGAACTAAACGCTCAAAAAGTTGACTCGTTCTGAAAATGAACCACTGGATATCTCCTGCTATTACTAAATAAAATGGCAATGTGACAAGGTCATGAGCTGGTTTCTCTGCATTCCGGGCGACACTATATGGTACTTCTAGCCAAAAACATTGAGATCAATCATTGGGTGCCAAATTATGGTATCGAGAGACAGTGATACATACTTCACGAATCTTCCATTCACCACGCGTAACCATTCTTCTTAGTAAGTTATTATACATGTTCTACAAACAACACACCGTTACATCATGTGAGTTTGATAATTTACTCGTTTACTACCCGGGTAAATTAACTTATTGCCTCTACATTTTACCCTAAAAGACAAAATTACTGGTAACTTGAAAAATAAACCTGTAAGGATAAAAAAATTTAATCTGTACCAAGTAACTGGGTAATTACCTTGAGTTAGAGTTAAATAGTAGTAGTGAGAGAAACGGTTAAGGTAACGTAAAAACCCATGCCCTACCTGGTAACCTTTTAGGTTAAGTTGAAGAGTGTTAATATCAAATAAGAGGAGTGATTTAATGGAAATCGGAAAAGAATGCATAGCACATACGGAATGCCATCAGGGCGTGGTACTCTTAGAACTATGAAGATCAAGGACGTTGCGAATTCAGCAGGTTAAGTGTGAGAGATTGACTTACACATTTTTTGACTTTATTATGAACAGGTAAGATGTTCAAGCAAACGAAGCCGTATTCATTGCGTACATTCCCTGCTTGACTAAATCATTCATTAGAATATTGACGATGTTGGCTGTGAGAGGTTTCTCTGCTTTTACTCGGTTTCCCCTGGATGGCCGATTTCCAGGGCGTTTGGAAGAAGCAGTTCTACTATGTTGATAATTTCCTCATTTCTCTTATAACAATCTAAAAAATTGGGGAGTAGAGGCTCTAAGATTCAATATGGAGAGGATGTTCCACCCGACTATATTGTGTAGAGTAGCGTGCATTTAACCCTCCAAACGCACCATAGCAATCAAGTAAGCATGATTCCAATCTTCCACTTGATGTCTCAATAATCCCACAAAATTAAGGTTAAATATAGATCAAGTCATTGCGTGCGTTCTAAACATCAAATGGACTAATGATCACTTTGCGATTCTCGGCTTTTTCACAGATATTGCCTTTTGAACTTTTCTCTTATATAATTTGATTCATGCTGTTTGAAATTATACCCGCCAACAGACAAATAAACAAGATTAGTTCAACAAACTCCATTTAACTATCCATATAAGCCATTTGAATGTGACATGTAAAATATCAAAACTCTATATAATTATCTTATAAAATTCAATGTAGTAATATACTATATCAATCATATACATCGATAAAAATGATAATTAAAATGATTTGTAATACTTTTACAAAAAAAAATTGATATTTTCCGAGTACATAGATTGGTAACCAATCTCCATTAAGATGCAACAGAGTTGTTGGAAAAAAATCTGAAAGCATTCAAATCTATTTCTTGTCATCTCCATGACAAGAAAAAAACTCTACTCACGTGGATGCTTGTGTGAGAGTTTGATCATTATGTGATGATCGATCAACAAAAAACATTTGTCCTTATGGAGTTCCAAAGTGTGACGGCCGCAGAAGAACATGTCATGAAGATGACAAGGAAAAATCTTCGTTCACATATATGATTGTGGGTGAGTTTGATCTTTATATGATTAATAATCAAGAAGTAGCACCGATATTGGTGGAGTTTCAAAGTGGAACATGCGATTTTTTTATGTAGCCAACACACTTATGATGGAGATGGAAATTTACACACGGTATGATCAATCTTCATTGTGATTGCCGAGGTGTTATAAAATTGGTTGAGAACCGGCTTATTTACTATAGAGTAAAGCACAACAACATCAAGTATTTTTATCACAAAAGCAATGGATGGTAAAATGATTGAGCTAGTCAAGATTGACAAAAAAAAATTGATGATTTAGCCACTCAAGATTGACCAAAAAAATTTGATGATTTAGCCAGTCAAAATTGACCAAAAAAAAATTTGATGATTTAGCTAATCAAGATTGACAAAAAAATATTTGATGATTGAACTAGTCAAGATTGACGATAAACTCTCATGATCAAACTAGTTAATTCAATCTACTAGATGCGTTGGCCAAAGTTATTTTATGGGAGAATTACGACCGACACTATGATACTATGCAGGTTGTGCATGGGAAGCATAGCTAGAGTTTGCTAGCATAGTACTTTCATGTTGATATATCTTTATATAGTTATTTTTATCATGTGATGGATACAACTTAGTTCTATTTAAATTTTGGGTAAAAAAAAGTTTTGTATTAGTTTTTTTCTAGAAGTTCACGAAGTAATTATACAAAATGTTTTTATTCTCTATATGCTAGCAAGTTTATAATCATATTTTTATCTTATTACTCTATCACATTATGACTAACGTTTAGTTCTAGTTAACTCTAGTGTAAATAATGATTTATGATAAGTTTCCATCTAGAACTTATTACGGAGACATAATATAGGTTACAGAAGTTATTATTTCTTTAACGCAAGTTTAGGGGGAGATTGTTGAGGTTAATTCATGTTAAGAATTAATCTTAGGTTCTAACTATTTATAGTTATGTTGGTTATAGTTGTAAAGCATATATATTCCAAGTCTTTTGCATAGTATCATGGTTATTTTCCACTACAGTAGTAAACTCTCTCGCGCATTTGTAGTGTGGACGTAGTCCACGTTAAAAATGCGTGTACTCGTGTTTCTCTGCCTGATTGTCTAACTATCACTTTCTTGCAAATTTTAGAATGACAAAACTATCATTGAAGTGTATGTTCAAACAAGTATAACAAGAATCATTATTAAGTGAAAAAATTCAATATGGTAAAATCATTTGCAATTATGCAATTTTTATATTATTTAATGAAATTTAATTTAATTATATATAATTAAATCATCATATTTTATGGATTTTATTCTATAATTTTGCTATTCATTATTCAAATAATTCATGTAAATGCCTGTACTCTCCCATAGTTTTTTCTTGTTATATCAAATTTGCAAAAAAAATCTGCCTTTTAAAATTCATTATAATAAAATAAATTTGGGGAAAAAATATTGAAATGAGCTTTTTACTTTTATTTTGAAAATGATTTTTTTGTAAATTTTGAAATTTTTCATTATTTCATTTTCACTCATAAAGTTTAATGTTAACTGAACTTTATTAGCTAACTGTTTTTGTAGTGATACACTTTTTGCTATGAAAGGTCTTCTTTATTTACATTGATGAAACGTTCCAAACAAGAGTTTCATTATGGAAGATACAATCATTGTTTGTCAAGGGTTTGTCTTCGTAACATTTTCTAAATAGCTTCAAACTTCCTATACTCTCTCTCTACAACAGATAATTTTACATGCAAATATCATAAGCCAGGGAGGTGGTTAAGAACTAATCTAACAAGCTACCGTCTTTTGTACAAGTTACAAATTAAATTTGATGCTCAAATAGCGCTCGCTACTTGCATGTAAATACATTGTGGAAGATGGTGAAACTACAACATATAAGAAGTTCATGCATCACACATCATAATTAGCAAGTAAACCACAACATTTGATTATACATGATATTATATACATTTTGATTTGATTAAAAGTTTTTTATTTTTTATTTAATTTGATAAATTATTTTTTATTCCTAAAATTACAATTAAACAAAAAATTAACATACTAACATTTTTTTAAAATTATAAAATAATTATGAAATAATTTCATGTGTTGTTAATTTTTTTAGATTTAATGTTTAAGATGCTTTACTCCAAGTCTGTGTACATGGCAGACGTCGAGGTATTTCACCTCCTGTCTAGCCTACCATACTAGCGATATTTAGCTAAGATACTTGGTTAATCATTAATTGGAATTGACCTCAACATAAATGACTTGTTAGTATTGTGCATGTTTATTGGATAAAATTCATATACTTTAGTTTGAATGATGAAATTATATATATATATATATATATATAATTGCTCAATTTAAATTTTGAATGCCTATCTATGAATTCATGTATGATATCAAATCTGGCTGTTTGTTGCTGGTTTTAAAGTTTTATGTCAACAAACTTCCTCCATATTGTTAAGCAATTTAATTGTTTATATCATGAAAGTCAAATTGGCAATTGTTGTATTATACCCCATACTATTATGAGTCAGTGATGTATGTCATCTTGCTGTGATATTAATATTTGTAATATTATGGTGGATGATAAATTATATTAAAATTATACGTTCATGTTAAAATTCTACCATTTTCTATCTTTTTATCAATATGAAAGAAATTTGTAACTTTATGTAAGTTGTGTTTAATTAATTTTGAATATTAATCTGAAGAACATGAACATTAGTTCTACATTTTGTTTGTTAGATTGGTAATTTGTAAATGTTGAATGTGTTAGATTTTTTTAATGCTTTTAAAAAATGTATTACTTACATTTTTTATTAGATGATATTGTTGATATTGTAGACATTTTATATTAGATAATGTTAATTATGTATTTTGTTAAAACTGAAATTTATAAGAATATATATTTTCTATCTTTTGAAAAATTGTTTTTTATTTTAAAATCAAAATATAGAAATTTTTTGTTGGTGTGAAACGAGATTCAGAGCAAATTTTAGCACCACAGAATTAGAGTGGAATCTAGCAAAACCAGTAGAGAAACGTCTGGAAGTATTATCGACCACAGTACAGCTACATAACCCGGTAGTGTAACCGGTGAGTAACTGCAGCAGAGGATGTCGTCATAGCAAGAACCCTAAAATTCATCCAGTGCTCCCGAAGAGCAGAGCACGACCACCTTGTCTACCGCTAGGACCTCATTCATCCCCGTCTGTATATAAACTTGTTCTTCTCTCGAGTTAGAATCATTGTGCAGCGGTAGATGTGTCGAGCATTGTCTGCAGGTTTGCGTTTGTTCGAACACTTGAGATTTGAGAGTAGCAATTGTAAGCAGTATGTCTGGGACATTTTCGCAGTTGTGAATGGCGTTACCCTACGCCCTTCCGATCGTCGATGGCACCACTATGTAGGTCTGGAGGGTGCAGCGCGATGCCGTTCACAGTGGTGAAGCTTTGTGTCGTAGGAGGCCTCGTCTATGATGATAAAACTTAGGCTTGTTTCTCAAACATTCGCAGTGGCCGCCCTAGAGTTCTCGCCTCGCCGGGCTTGAGAATTGATGCGGCTTTTTCCTTCCTTGGATGTCTGAGACGAGGTCTGTATTTAGAAGTGTAGTTTAGAGAATCCACAAGTGAAATGCGCGGGATGATTTACATCAATCGGATTCCCTCAGATGCTTCGGCAGCTGCTTGAGAAAATATGTACAATCTGATGCGTTTCACGAAGTGGCGAAGTGCCTATGGGTTCGACTGAGGACCCTGTGTCACCAAGATTCCTCTTCCGGTGCTCAAGAGGACACATCTTTCACTATGAGCATACCCTAATCGACATTGAGCAGGCAAGAAGCGGCTCTTGACTTCCAAGTACTTTAGGTCTAGAAGGGTCATCAATTAAACCGATCTGCTGTTCCAAATGGCTTATCGTGTCGGAAGGTGACAACAGTAACTGATCCGCCTCTTCACCGCCTCGGATCTGATTCAAGGCTGAGAGGCGAACCAAACATGAAGTTCGCACACAGTCATAAAAAACTTGACTGACTCAGATGATCCAACAGCTCACAATTTACGTGTGGTAATGAGCAGCCAACGTGTATGACTAATGCGAATAGTGAGACTGATTAGGCTGGCCCCTCAACTTCTGATGTCGTCCCTTAACTGCATCGCCGAATTTGGCGGCGAGCATCGACGAACCTGGCAGATGACACTGAAGTCCGGTAACGCGTCGGTAAGTGCGTCACTGTAATGACCCGTGCAACAACGAAACGGAGTTGTAATCATTTCTCTCATCTCTCTTCCATCCTCCAGATTGTTGTCTTAACGATCTACCATGACAACTATTCACACCAAGAGAAGAAGATGATAATAATGTTGGTGTGAATAGTCTCAGTGCGCCAGTCTTAATGATTAAGAGCAAAGCTCATCACAAAAGAATCCATCCACCGGTGTTCAGCCTGTGAAGCGTATTCCGAACAGATAAAACCTGATGACATCCACACGAAGGAAACATGGTCGACTACTCCACCGTAAATGATCGACAAACTACATCGATCCCTGATCGTTACACATCGTAAATGTTTGGGAAAAACTGTTGTCACCTAAACACCTCACCTCTATTCTGCTGATATGTCGAGCAACGTAGCGCAGACTCATTTTCGTATTGATTATAGTATATACATAAAAAGTTCAGAGTTGAACAACAAGTTTCCGTGGTGTAGTTGGTTATCACGTCAGTCTAACACACTGAAGGTCTCCAGTTCGAACCTGGACGGAAACACATGCACCTTCACTTTTGGAATTATATCCTCAAGGAATAGTGATAGGGCCTTTCGAATTCTTTATGGATTTGATCCCTGCGCATGAGAAGATTTAACCCGAGAGCTCGTCACGTTCACAGCGCCAAGTCACCTTCGCAATCCGCGCTTTGCTTGCGACCTTAGGAGCTGTGCGTTTTTTCTGGCGTTTAGCGACGGATCCCATCGGAAGAACTTGCGGATTCCACCGGTAAAACCTGAGGCCGGATCGAATAACATGCCTATCAGCCCTTCGTTGTAAACACGGCAATGATGATCTGGACGAAGTCTCCAAGACTCTCCACGAGCGAACGAGAATTGCGATACATGTGTGATCAAGCATCCCAGTTCTGAAAGAGTGCATCTTCAAACAGCATCAATAATTCGAGCGGACGGTAGTTGATTGTTGTGAACAATGAGTTTCTTCAAAGCCTCGATGTAGAAATAACACTTTGCGGAAATCTGACATTCCAAAACCGAATCTTCTGAAACTGATGATAGTATTGATCTCGCGGAATTTACAATCGCGGAATGTACGTGAGAGTCACGATGCGTTGATTCACAGTATCTGAGTATTGTATCGTCACATATGACTTGCTATGATTACAATTTACGTTGGTCCTTAAGTAACCAAATCTGGAGTTGCGGCAGGAAAAGACGGGGACGGGATTGATCATTGCGGTCGAGGCTGCACGCAAAATGTCGGAAATCAACGACCTATGATGAACAAACTGTTTACTGCTGTGGGCAACCTTTGCTAGTTTCTCTGCGGTGTATCCTGAGACCTAGTATAAGGACGGAGCGTTCAATGGAAAGGTCAAATTCCAGCTTCAAAACTTTATAGTTCAAGAAACGTTTCTAAGCTACAGAAACCCAAAGTTTGTGGGATCTGCCAATAGCTTCAGGATTCCATGGGATTGGCAGTCGCTTGGGTGCTCATGAGGCCCCGGATCTTCACATCGTACAAAACCTCTTCAACTTTTTTCAAATCGTACTTCAGCCCTGCACAAGGTGTAATCAAGAACATTAGCATAATAAAATAAGTTTGAAGAACAAAATTAAACCAGAAGAAAGCTCAAGTTGCATTGACCAGAATTTTGTGTTCTAGATGGCGTAGGCATTAGAGGACTCTCAGTAGCAGCTGATCCAGCAAACATAGAAACCAATCTCATGGCATAATTACATGCAGTTATGGAACCATACGGCTGGATTATACATCTTGCATCCTGAAATGTGGAGTTGAATTTACACTACTCACCATCAAAACGTTTCCGAAGAAGATCGTTGCGAAGATTTAAGATTCGGAATGCGGAGAACAAGTCACTTAAAAATGCAGAGACTTGTCGTGGGCAGTCGTAGTCTCCTGCAGTTACTCGATTGACAACATACCTGGGCTGCCAGAGGACACACACGGAAGAGAGGAAAATGAATCTCCCGATCACTCATTCCTATGTGCGAGTCCTCAGAATTGATCAGATTAAAATTTTGTATCTTCACATAGAGACCTCACTGAGAATGAAGATGTACTTACAAGCTCATTGGAAACATTGCACAAACCTGCACGAAAAGTGAAAACGAAGATGAAGAGTTAATGACTTGAATAGAGGGCGATGCTTGACAATGTAATTGAAAAAAAAAAACTAGCACTGATCTGAACCCAAGATTAAGAGGATGAGAACAAACCAATGAGGTAATCTTCGATATCGATGCTAAACTCCTCAGACTTCACTGCATGCCGGAAATGACTCAAGACTCTCAGTGCCATTCCTTGGGCTTCCCAAGAAATGCTTGCATATCCCCAGGGAACTAGTCACATTGATCACTGAGAACATCTGTGAAAGAAAGACAAACACTATCTGCAGCAGTGCTGGCATATGGAAGTACAAGAGGTAATCGGAATGATGTAGAGTGCACATACCATTGAGCAAGGTCTCCACTTCCCTGTGGGATAAAAGGCCCTGGGTATCCAGCCAGTGGACAAAGGCTAGTAGAAAGACCACCGTGTGGGTTTGACTTCTCCAGTGGTCGTGGTACCTGCAGACGAGACATAGAAAAAAGGAGGTCATTTTCAGTAGCAGCAGATGCAATTGGCAGGGGACCACCAGCGCGTAAGAACACGAGTTCAGGTGTCGCCAAGAAATCACCTGTAGTACTGTCCGGGGCGCTCTCGTATGATTTCAGAAAGCTGGGAGTAGATTTTTTGAAGCGATGGTATATAGCTCTTCGCTTTGTCCAGCACTTCTTTTCCTGGACATTCAGAGATTCGATGTTCTCATCGGGAGGAGGACATCAAAGATCATCCGAGGAGCTCAAACGAGGAGAAATTGCACGCTCCTTACCTTGCAGAGTAGCATGATGCACCGGCAGAAGGGAGGCTTGCATCATACGGATCACATTGTCCAGGTCGGCGACCACAGTGCGAAGCCTCTCACGAACAGCTCCGCTGTCGTCGAGCTGAACTCGAAACGCTTCAAACTGCGCTTCCATAGCCCTGCCGTCCACCATGGACATCATCAATACTTTGCCCCCTAAGTGCCCAAAATCTTAATCGGCCAACAATCTTCCTCCCGCGCACATTCGAGATCACAATTCCACTCCTTGCCCTCCTCTAAAGCCCTAAACCCTCGGCCTCTTCAACAGCGAATCCCCCGAAAGAATGCTCGCCCTCTCCACAAGCCCTGCTCGTTCACTTTCTCGACGGCCTCTCGACACCGGCGCCCTCGTGCACCGGCAGTTGCTGCCGGTCGCAACTGTCCATTCCTCCCGCGAGCCAGTCGTCCGCTCCCGACATCCCGGTCAGCGACCGTTAAACGCCACGGCATCCAGCCGTACGGTTGTCGACGTAGAATCAATTTTTAGGCGCAATGATTAGAAGATGACAGACGAGTATGATGTTCGCCTCGATGCCAAGACTGAAGACGAGGAGCTTGGGACTGGAAGGGTCAGAATTTCCACTGCCACTGCTGCAGAAATATCAGGTCTGCCGTCACTGGAATCTTTCTCGTGAGTATGAGATGAACCGGCGATTTGTGGGCAAGTTCTTGACTCTGTCAGAATGTAGATGCTGTTCAGATGGACGTTCGGAGGTTCGAGCGTGTAGCCTCGATTTGGTGGTTAGATGGAACTGTTGTATGTTCAAAATCAGTTGGAGTCTCGTTCGAGAGGGTAGATTCTATGATCTATCATGAACGTTGTTGTGGTCGCTGACCTTTAAGTCTGATGTAAGTAGGTTCACCGATGTGACATTCACTCATGTTTAATCCATTCATTACCTGGCTCATATGAGCATTTAAAGAACTTCCTTGGACCAGTCTCTAAACTGGAATTTAATTGAGAAGTTCTTTGATCTTAATTTTTTTTTCTTATATTCCTATTCGTTTGTCATAGATTGTATACAAATTATCCTTAAACATTCCATCTGGCAATGGCTCGGTCTAACAGTTTAGAACTTCTCGTATATGGAAAATATAAAATCTCATCAGTGTTTTGACACTGAAATTTGAAAGGGTAATAAGTGGAAACCTACCTGTAATCGAGTGAAAAGTATCGGTATCCCCAAGGCCATGATCTCATTGTGGTCGAACTTCAAAATTATAAAAGTTGTAAGTTGTAACAGTATCAGTTTCACAAGATACATGTATTAGAAAACTTCTAATTAGATTTGCTATGACTAAGTCCCTGGCGAAGAGAATAACAATATTAAAAAGGAAAATAAGACCTAAATAGGTGTGTAAATATATACTTGGATAGCGACCATTTAAGGCAAGGTCAGATATCTTCTCCCCAGGATTCCGGCCTGCAAATCGCCTCTGGAATCACGATTGTACTTTTAACAGTCCAGGACGTCTGATTGCTTACCTAAACTCATCAATGTTCTCCTATAGTAAGTTCTTACCATCGGCAATTGGTGCTGTCATGGACTCATGTTCTAATGTCGAAATTCCTCCATTTACAAGAGGTCAGTTCGTTCTGTACAGTGACGAGGGTTTAAGGGTTCACTGCAAAACTCAGCTCGTTCTACGTGTTAGGGTTTAGGAAAGGCACATTGAAACCACGGAAGCAGGATGTGTCGTTGAATTGGGCGATTTTGACCACGAATTGGTTAAAAAGTTGTATCCGCGGGTTCCGATGGGTGGAAATAGGGGAAAGGAGAGAAGCGCAGGTGCAGGAGAGGCGAAGTCTTTGGGCCCGGCTTCTGTCGAGGATTCAGATTTGCACACTGTTTTTGTTCGAAATCTTCCTTTCTTCCTTACTGATTCTCAGGTGATTTTCAGATACTCAGACTAGTTCGATGAGAGGTTAACCCTCACGTTTATACAAACACATGTGTAGCAGAGGATGGAGCACATCCAGCGCGATTAGTGGACAGATTCCGGTTCACACTTCGTTTCAATTTTCAGGGCTCTGGTCGATGTACAGCCGAATTTTCATCGTGCCTTATCTCACACTTGAATTGGACTATTTGCAGCTCGAGGACATTTTTAGTGAAGTCGGACCTGTAAGGCATTGTTTCACAATCAAAGAGAAAGGTTTAAGACCGGTTTCTTCGTTTTCTGCTTTTCAACCTTTCGACGTTTTCCAATCCAATTTTGTTTCAAATGAATGTGGGTGGGCAAAGATGGTAGTTGGCATATGAAGTCCCAGTTTTCATCCTGCATTCCTCTTTGTGAATCGAGTTCATCAAGGGGAATCACCGAAGGGGCATTAGACTCTGATGCCCCTTTAGTGCTCATCATCTTGCAATTCCTGGTAGGTGTGTACTAGCGAGTTATCTCACCAGATGAAAATCGAAAAATTGAATTCCTTATGTGTTTCGAGAAAATCACTGACTAAAATGTAATCATTAAACTGCCCTTCCATTTTCAGGGTCTGATCAACATCGCGGATTCGGCTTTGTTCAGTTGTAAGTTCAAGTATACCTTCGCAGTGATTTGCGTCACTTGAATTTCACTGATGATATTTGAATTATCCACCCCTTTAAAGCTGAACTTTTTAGAACTGATTATTCTGTTAGTGCATCTCAGTACGTCTGCCGAAAATTTCTGTTACATTGCCGATCTGACTTTCTGTGTTCAATAGTGCTGTTGCCGAGGATGCCCATCGCGCTGTGCAAGAGAAGAATGGAGCCTCATTGCAAGGACGAAATATCAAAGTCGAAATTGCCAAGCGGCGAGCTCCTCTTGACCAACGGCGTCCACCAAAACCTGATCCACCACCGAATAACGAATCTAATACTGTAGATCAACAACAAGATCCAAAGCTCGATTCTGGAAAGACCGAGCAGAAAAAAAGGAAATCATCGGAGGTTCAAGTCACTTCTCCTGCTGACAAAGGCAGTACAGAACAGCCTGAATCCAAGAAGATAAAACCTGGTATATTGCACGAGCAACGAACGTTTATATTTTCTCGTGGATGAGAGAAACTATTGTCGTGTGTACGAAGGTTTCTCATCAATTTTATCATGCATTTAGCTTCGAAGGTTGGAGGGTAGGGGTTGTGAATCGATCTTCGTGGTTCGAGTTCTGAAACCTTTTTGCTGACCATGTGCCATTTCCAAATATATCGTTGTTGTGTAGATGGTGAACCTAAGGTTAGGGTCCAAAAAGCCGAGCAGAAGAAAGAAGAGGATGTGGTACCTGTCCCAGATGAGCCAAAGAAGGGAAAGAAGGAAAAGAAAGGTCACAAAGAGAAAAGGAGTGGTAATGGCCAATGCCAAACGTCACTATTGTATTAGTGGTTGTAAAGCATTGTGTAGTAGGTTTGAAAGTTTCGGTTTATTTCTGTGAATCTTTCAAGTCTCCTGATTGTTTATCTTTCTTGTCGCTCTTGATCATGACTTCGATTTATACAGTCATTGTCAGCGCGAGAGTTGTCGCCAGGCTTTTCTTAAGTGAAATGATCCAATAATCTTCTTTGGACAGATGGTAAAGCTCAAGTTGCAGTGAGTGATGCTGAGACTAAGGAGCAAGAAGAACAACAGGGTTCTGCCAAACAAAGGTTTGTATATCCTGCAATTACAATGGAATTGTTTCGCTATGGTTATGCAAGAGTCGAACCGTATGATGAAGTTTCATATACAAGTTGTGGGTTATGATGTTGTGAGCTGATTTGGATTCACCTGCTCTTTACCAAAATCATGTGGATATGTAAGGATACAGAATGATGGATATGAAGCAAATTCACTAACAATCTCTTTGGAGATTGGATGTGAATTTGTACGTACGCGAAGTGTTTGAAGAACTAAATATTGTTCCCATTTTGCTTCACTATATCTGTGCTGACCCTTGCGTTCTGAGGTTGATTGCAGGCCTGCACGAACGGTGGTTGTGGGTGGTTTGCTGAATACGGAAATGTTTGAAGCAGTTCTCGCTGTTGCAAAAACTGTCGGCCCAGTGGAAAGTATTCAGAGGACCTTTTCTGAAATCGAATTACACAGTAGAGGTGAGCCATATCGATTGACAATCACATTGAAATACTGCCCGTAGTTGCAGTATTTCCATGTGTTTCACCAAAAGCATTAGAATATAGAGCGATCAACAGAATCTCAAATCTATTGCCTCCTCTCTTCTCCTGAAATTCATGTCTTCTGAGCTTTATATTCGTGGATAGTAGTGAGGGGCGTTTTCATGGGAACATAGAAAGCGTCAACGAATTTCGTCATTGGGAGACATCTATACGATAGACCCTGTTTACTTTCAAACAACCTTAGACCCCCAAACAGGATGTCTCTCTTCCTTTTCCCTCTTCATCCCATCTCTCTTCCTCCCAGTCGTTCAGTACAACAGCGCTCTCCCAGACGCTTCTACGCTCTGCAGGCTATGGCATGCAGACCCTCACATTTGTTATTCATTTGACTGATATCTTCTGGCATAGTAATAGACTAGGTTTGGATGACCATTTTCCCTAAGTAGTGGGTGCATGATTTTCCGTTCTGTAGGCTAAAGTACGTCATTTGCAATTTAGGGCTGGCGAAAGATGGATGTAAGCCTCGAGCAGCTGCTATAGTCTTTCTATCAGTGAAAGCGGCAAATCAAGCTGTGGCAGCGCTTCATACAAAATCCATTGGGGGAGGAGTTGTTTGGGCTCGTCAGCTGGGTGGGGAGGTAAGCATTTCCCTTCAAGCGAACAGCGAGAGGAAGTTTTTTATACTTTCTTCCCCGACTAGAAGGAATTAGATTTTCAGTGTCAATTGAAAGACACATGGTTTTCTCGCAAAAAACTTGCAGTATCTATGCAGTTGTATCAAAGACCTGATGATGACTGTCGCGTATAGTGAGCAATGAGATATACCCAGTATACCAGATTGTGCATCATCTGTGTATTTATTGGACGTTGTGTCTGGTATTTTTGGTGCTGCAGGGTTCAAAATTGAAGAGTCTGAGGCTGATTGTACGAAATTTACCTTTTCAGGTATTATGATTGTTCAAACACTGTCAAGGGTCGCATTTATAACCTTTACGTCCTTTCCCGTGGAATAAGCATGTAATATTTTTTGCACAACAAGCTGCTCAAAGTGAAAGTGCTAATTTTCCTTCCATGAATCTTTTCAATTTCAATTGGTTTGCAGATTACAGAATCGCAACTGAGAGACATTTTTACTCCCGTGGGCTTCTTGTGGGAGGTGACCATTCCCCGTAAACCCGATGGCACGTAAGTGTATACTGCTGGGTTGATGTGTGTAGGTTAGCAGGCGTCTTACGTTGACGCATGGTGCTGCACTACAATTCTCTATTCTGTCTAAAAGTCACAAATGGATGAATGAAGGCGGTATTGACTCAGTTCTTAGTTTTTGAACCTTGTGTAGGTGTAAAGGTTTTGCGTTCGTTGGTTTCATCAACAGATCTGACGCAGAGAAGGTAACATTTCAAATGACTGATTAAGATCCTTTCTGATTCTAATGTTCGAGAATTTCATGACTTTAATTTTGAAATCATATAGCCTATTTCCCTACGCTATTTTCCTTTGGAGTAGCTCCTCGGACCAATTATGTGTTTATGAGCTTTGCAATTTTCTGTTTAGGCTATCAAAGCCGTGAATGGGACAAGTATCGGTAAAAGACCAGTTGCAGTGGATTGGGCGGTCGGTAAGAAGGAATATGAGACGGCTATATCCACAGCTAAGACTCCAGGTTTGTTATGGATCAGAGCTCTTTCACATGATTCGATTTAACGTTTGCACTTTTTGTTTTTGTTCATCTGAAGCCAGTATCCCTTCTTGACTGGACTCTATTTACTATCATGAAGCTCCTGCATCAGTTATACCCGATCTAGACGATGGCGACACTACAGCAAGTGATTCTGAAGATGAAATGGATGAAGAGCTTGACGATGAAGTGGAATTGCCCAGTGTGGCAAACGAAGTCACGGCAGAAGCTGACAAGAAATCTAAGAAGAAAAGTATCACAAAAGAAGAGGAGACCGCCAAAACAGAAGTGGCTGACAAGAAGTTGAAGAAACAGAAGCTTGTGCGAGAAGAGGCTGCCGTTGAGGAGGAAGGTGACATGGAGGTTAGTGTGGCCGATAAGAAGACAAGGAGAAACAAGCTTGCCACGGAAGAGGCGGAAAAGCAGGTTTCACTGGATGAGATGGAAAAGAGGAAGCACGCTCAGCTGGAAAACATGGACAGGAGCGAAGAGATGGACATGATGAAGAAGATCCTAAACAAAGTTGTTTCTACCCTTCATGAAACTGGCCCTCCAACTCTCGACGATGATGAAGAAGAAGAAGCAGAAGAAATAATCACACCCGTTACAAGTAAGGTCAAAAGTGCACACAAGGAAGTTGTTGAATCAGTGGAGGCTAATGGAAAGCCGAGCAAAGCCAAGAAAGCCGTGGAGCCCGCTGTCTCAGAGAAAGATGAGGACCAAAACACTTTTGGAAGGACAGTGTTTATCCGGAATCTTCCCATGGATGCCAAAGTTCCAGAGTTGCGGAAAATGTTTTCTGACTTTGGAGTTGTTAAGTCGCTGAGAATGGTTCTTCATCCAGTCACACTGTAATGCACTCATTCTCACTTTCAGCTGTTTCTATTTTGGACGAAGCAGTGTCTTTCAAATGGTCAACAATTAGGTGCTCCATTCTGGAGGGTAGGAGCTGTATCTCAAACCTAGAAAAAGAGAAAATATGCATAGTGCCGTGCTTTCCGACTCTTCATGTACATACCAATTTTGCTTTACCTACGCTGTAACTAACTTCGTATTTTTCATGGTCGTGAAGGAGACCGAAAGGTACTGCGTTTCTAGAATACTCTTCAAAAGAAGCTGCAGAGGCTGCTATTGCTGCTGCCTCTACAAATGGTGTAGATATGAACGGTCTGATGGTGAAGGGGCGTGTCATCAACGTCAGTTTAGCCGTAGACAGAGATACTGCTCGAGATATAGCGAAAGACGCATCAAAGAAAAAGGACGAAGAAGATCGTAGAAATCTGGCTCTAGCAAAGGTGTGACATTAAGTTCAATTGTTCATTTCCCCCGTTCTCCGTCTCATTGGTTTCCAGAAGCAACATGACAATGAGTTTGCTTTACAAAACCTTCTACTTATTGATATGTGATATAACGCTTTTCCTCATCGGTGGCAACACAGGAGGGATTCATACAGGAGGGCACGGCTGCCGCTGAAGGTGTTTCGAAGAAAGACCTACAGAAGAGACAAATGTAGGTTTTCATCTTCTTGAAGTATAACAACGAAGTCACATCTTGTTCTTTATTTTTATGGTCTTGTACTTTTGAGATCACAGACGCTTACACTTAGTACAAGTATCCCACTTTCTTTTGATGTGGTTTTGTTTATTTGAAGGCTGGAGTATGAAAAGAGCACAAAACTGCGGAGTCCCAATTTTCATGTTTCAAGGACGAGGCTATCCGTGCACAATGTCCCAAAGGGGTTCACTGAGAAAGCTCTGAAGAAGCTTTTCATTGAGGCAGTAAAATCACGTGCTTCAAAACAACAACCTGTTATTAAGCAGGTAGGATATATTTGCGCTCAACATATACGTCGATTTACACTGCAGCTGGATTACGTTCTGATGAGACATAGTTCACCAGAGGGTAAATGCGAAATGCTTCTATGTCTTCATTTAAGCTCTAACTTCGCTTGGCTATATCAAGAAAGCCAGTCATATACTTGTCCATAAGCACCTTTGCCCGTCTATTGGCTTCGCAGTGATGATAATAGCTTTCGTACTCTTGACCATTTTATATGCAGTCGCCGTTGATTCATGTCATAAAGCCGCATTCTGCTCTGAAACTCTACATGCAGGTCAAGATATTGCGAGACGAGGAGACAGGCAAGGCTCGTGGGACCGCTTTTGTAGAGTTCACAGAACACCAACACGCCTTGGTCGCTTTGCGAGTTCTAAATAACAACCCTGGTGCGAAGCCTCAAAATCTCACTTTGTTATAGATTCTGCACTTTCCTCTGTTTCAGCAAAGAAATCTGCCCTCTTGTTTTCGGGAAAGTGTTGCTTAGTATCTAGACTCAGGCATAGTACTCAGGCTTGGGAGTAACTCCATGTTCTTGTGAATTGGACCACTCGTGTTCATGATCAAAATCAGATATATAGAGATAGAGCTCTAGATCTAAATCTGACGTTGAACATTCTCTATTGAATCGGTATTGTCCTTTTTTTCCGGACACAGGAGTGGCCGTCTGATTATGGTCTTAACAATATCCATTCTATTGTTATAACTTTTGTTGCTTCGTGCCGCAGTTCCCGTTCCCTTCTAGCGGCCTGTTTGCTTGTTTTGTTTTTTTCCATAAGTAGACCAGGACTTTAATAAATGCGGGAACATGTCGAATGTATAATGTCGTCAGCTGTATGTATCTGATCTCGATATGGTAATTACGTTTCTTTCGAAATATGTTCCGAATGAATTTCATAGTAGAAGCCACTTAGTTTTAGTTGTTTTAAGGTTACTTGTTCTTCATGCGTGGTGGTTTCTAGTCGATCGAGACTCTCAGTTTTGTGGGATTAGATAGTGCCAGGCCCGTTTTGATTTAGGTCTGGGCTACAGCCATCGTGTTCACCTTGGCTTGTTGGGCTTCGAGTTATCCTCAGCCCTCCGCGCTCCTGTACAGAAATCTATGCTTCTCCTATCCACTTGTGAGGCTGTCGAGTCTGCGCGAGGGGACTATTACGCTTTCTGGTCAAACATCGTTGATATTCAGTATAGTACTTCTTGCGTCAGACTGGTTCGTCCTTACTGCTGTTTTGGTTCTCCCAGTATTGTCAATATGACAGTTGGTCAGCTCGCTCTGCCTTCCATATTCCCTCGTTGTTCTACTCCATGTCTTCTTCGTTGAACATGAACTACCTTGTCCGTAGTCAGCGGTAATTGTCATGTTTCTGTTGAGGTTATCCTTTTCTGAACTGCTTTCTGAGATGCAGCATCCATTTGTTTTTGTGGTCTGCAGGTACGTTCACTGCAGAAAATCGTCCTATTGTGGAGTTTGCGGTGGAGAACTCCTTAATTCTACGGAAACGTGCTGTTCAACTGGAAAAATCGAAAAGTATGCAGGCCGCTCCGATCAAACAGAATGTGGAGGAAAGGCAGAAGACTGCAGATAATGTGAAAAAAGGACGCAAGTCACGACGTGATGAACCCGACGGCAAAGGTAGCAACATAGGATGTGAAGCATGGCTGCAAGACTTGATCATATAGGCACTAACCATAGTGTCCAAGTCGGTGTGTGAAGATCAGTAAAATACTCTGCTTGCCAGCATATCCAGGGGGTTTTAAAAACAGTTCACAAACACATTGGAACTGTCAGTAAAACCATAGTAGCTAATGACCCTGATTTCAAAGACATAGCCAGCAAAGTTTTTGGAAATGTCGGATGTTATCCTGGTTCTATTCTTCGATGCCCAGTCTGATTTGACAATGAACACTGTACAACTAACGTGCTTTTGGTTGTTGCATGGTGAACAAAAGGTGGAAGAGGTGGTCAAGTTGAAGGTGGGGAGATTCCAACGAAATCAGGGGGTGCAAAAAAGAGAGAGAAGAAGCGTGAGAGTGGTAAAGAGAAATCAGTTGAGGCGGAAGGTGTTTCACAGGACCAGCCTGCATCGACCGCAGGCCGCAAAAGAAAGAGAGACAAGAAAGATGCTTTGACAGGAATGGCCGGAGATGCAGGCTTGGACAAGAAAGCATCGATGCAAGCAGGACAGGCAAGGCCCACAAAGGCAGGAATCGCCGGACAGAAGTTGAAAGGCAAGGCAATGAATGGTGGAAAAGATGGCCCTGCGATGAAAGATAAACTTGCGAAATTAGCAGTTAGCGGGAAGCTTACGAAGTCAAAGCAGTCGAAGCAGCCAGCTGGTTCTAAACAAAGTCAATCGGCCAAGGTGGGAAGATAAGCTATGAAACTTTCGTTATCTTCTAGAAGTACGTGCAAGACTTGTGCCTACGTCGTAATGATCAGAAGCGTTCGATTAATATTCTTTTCATGTTGCAGGGAGGCCCAGCGAAAAAGTTTGCAAGTCAGCAAATTCAGGAGATTGATGAGGCCAGTCTGAGAGAAAAGAAAAGACTGAAGATGCTCACAAAAGCTAAGGCCTCTGAATCCAAACTCGACAAATTAGTCACAGAATATCGAACGAAGTACTTCTCGGATGGACCGACGAGCAAGAGCAAGACGAAGAGCACAGGGGGAACGGCAGGGACCGTAGGAGATTTTCGCAGATGGTTCGATTGAAGCTTGTATGAAAACCCTGGCTCGTTCGCAGCTCAGGCCAACCCTAAGCCCTGCACACATCGTTGATAATGGGTTCAGGTTTTGTACCCTTGATTTTAACCAGGAGGGAATTAGAGGTGTCGGATCGCAAGACCATTTTGGTCTTTTCCCGATCGAGGCGAAAGTTACTTGTAGATTATCATTGAAGGCGGTAAGTAGTGATACACTAGCATGAGTTCAGTATCTCGCCGAATCCCTCCTCGAGCTTCCGAGTCAAATAGAACGGCAGCAGTCCATTTGACCAGGTAGTGCAGAGACGAGGTTCAAACCGAGTACCAATCGGTGATTCAGAGAGATACGCAAAAGGCTGCTGCAAGTTTTGATACGTGAGGAAGTTTGACATGTGAGAAGCATGTGTTATATCAAATGAGCCAATAATGAACACCCGTGTCAGCTATGGCCACAAATGTCCTTGCACGTCGTCTTTTACTTGTGAACCAACAAAGCTTGATTGGGTTAAGAGATTCACTTTTCTGCGGCGTATACTTCTTGCTATCTGTCGAAGACGCAACTGTTTTCCGCCTAGGCCAAGCGTAACTAAGGTTTTAGTATTCAGGCTTCAATTTCCACTTCCGATCGAGTGATGTCGCAGGACAAAAGCAGGGGCGGAGCAGAGCACGATGTGGTTCTCACTAATCGTTTGGTCTTCATCACTTCAATTGTTGTAGCGCGCGGAATGGCCTCTATGTGCTTTACCACATTGAAGGTTTGACCTTCACGGCTCTCGGGGTCTCCTGCATGTTCTGTCTTGGAACCTCGAGTGTCCAGCGCACCCTGCATAGTCACAGATGAGACGAAATACTCTCCATCGAGACGTGTCAATTCTTCAGGGCTCCTCGCAACCTCTTCTATGTCCAACGTCGAGTAGACCTAGAAGTAAGGAGAGTCTCGTGGTACTTCGTGCAGTGCATTACTCGATAGTCAAAGGTTCTATTACGTATCATGCCCAAACGCAGAATCTTCCGAGCCCTGTTTATGTGACAGAGCTACTGTATCGAAGATCAGCCGGACGCCTGGACTTGTGTACCTCATTCTTAGCTACAGAGACGCAAACTTGGATAGTCTTCCGTATCAAGTCTGTGCCAGATGTCAAAATAAATAACGCACCCCAGGTAGATGCGAATTCCATCAACCAGACGACAAGATACTTTTCTGGCGGGAATAAGCTTCAACTCGCCGATGTGATTGTGGGCAGCAGGAAATGATATAGGGTACGATAGGGAGAGGGAGGAAAGAATCTGTACCTTGTTTCAGCGGTGGGAGCCCGATCGATTGGTTTCGTACGCCTTTCAAGCTTCATTCCAGTGCTGCCTAGGAACGGATTTTTCTTTCTGGTGACGACTGACGATCGCACATTACTTCTTGTATCAACAAGAATAGCTCACAAAGATCACGTTAGCGATAAACGTGTTTTGTTCGCACACCGAGTGTTGGTGTACAGGCCGCCACTAAGGACACAAGCATGACTCAGATTAGATGATTCTGATTTTACTTTCCTCCATTAAGTGGGTTTTGTTCTTGCGTAACTTGCTAGATTGCGTGTAAGGCTCGTAGAAGGCAATTTGAAGAAGACACGTTTCGAGAGATATCCAGTCTTCAAATGTTGTTTCCGGTCTTATAGTTGAACGAGAAAAAAAATACTTCTGAGAGAACAAAAATGTATTCCGCGAACGAATCTGGTGTGAATCCTGAAATAATCGTTTGATCATGAGATTGATGGACAGATTTGTCGGTGAAAAACTACGCGCTGCTATATATCCTGCAGCGACGGCATTTCCTGTCTCACTTTCACCGAAACGAGTATTTTCTATCAAGATGGAGCACCAGTACCTTGTCACACACACCTAACCATTCGTTGGAGGGAAAACATGAAATTCATATCAATCCGCTTGCTTCCCTTTCGACCTTCTTTGGTGCAAGATCCCAAGCTACATTTCTACGAAAACCTCTAATGTGCGAGTGGAGGAAGAGGGTGGTTGTAAAGTGTCAGAGTCATGAACTCTTGCCGATCTCGTTTCTCACAAAACTCTCGTTCCAATCCTCGTACCGATTGGAATTCATGCGATGAGCAAGTTTCAAAAGGCTTCCGACGACATCCAACTGACGACTGCGCCGATTCGGCGTCACTTGAAATCGAAGCTGCGATAGCGCGGACCGAATTTCGATCTCTCGTTCTCCCCCGCGCGTCCAATCTCTGATATTCGCTGGAAAGACTGGCGACCCACATTGGATCTAGGCGAAAAAGTCGAGAGTGTCATGTCATGGCTCCAAATGCAACGTGGCATCGTATGATAGCTCGAAGCTCGGCCCATCTCATTGACCGATCGAAGGAGCTTTGATCTACGGTCTGTAGAGCTCTAAACGCTGGGCTCCACTAAAGAGTAAGGAAATTCAGCCAAATTCAGATGAATTCGTCTAAATCATCGAATTTCGGCACAGTGTAGAACATTAATTTCAGCTCTTCTTTTGAAACATTGCACCACTGGCCTCTCGAAGTAAAGCCTCGTAGTGCATAATGAGCCAAATTATATTATTTTCAGGTCAACTCTAATCCGGAAACGTTTCTCACGAGCAGATAAGTCGAAGAGTTCCTTCTCGGGGGAGCACTAAATAATCATCTTTCACACTGGCGCAAAATACGGTCCGGGTACAGTAAAATACAAGAGACGATCCCGTAGAGCGGAGAATTTTCGCGAAAGGGGAGAATCCGGAGGGCCAGAATGTGGTTCAAAGCTTCCTTCGTGGGCAAGTCGGGACTGACAGACAGCGATCGTGACCGACGGGAAATAGTCGGTCTCGGTGGCAGAAGGTGTCGTCGGAACTCGGCAGGCGCACATCGGAAAGAGGCCAATGCAGTAGAGAGGAGCGAGACAGGGCAGGGCAGCGGGGCAGGGCAGGGGTCGACACTGGAGAGAGAGAGAGGGGAGCGGGCAGCGGAAACGGGCAGCGTGCGAGCCAGTAGCGGCAGCAGCAGCAGCAGCAGCAGGCGGAGCGAGCCGGTGAGGGTCGAGACTCGAGCGAGAGGAGAGAGAGGCTCGAGTGTGCGGGAGACTGAAAGAAAGGTGGGCTTCGTTGGAGAGGAGGAGTCCGCAGACGGAGGAGATCAGAGACGCAGAGAGCGAGAAGAGCGAGAAGTGCGAGAGAGAGAGAGAGGGAGATAGAGAAGAGGAGGAAGGGGTTTTTAGGTTTGGGATCCGGAGGGAGAGAGCGAGGGAGCGAGGGATCTATCGATGCATGCACAGGCGGGTGGATCCATCGATCGATCGAAAGGAGCAGCGATCGCAGAGAAGCGGGGGCGGAAAAGAACGTGAAATTCCGGAATTGGGCAGGAATGTGTGCATAGTTGAGGAAGAATTGCAGGGACGAAAGGTGTGGTCGATTGGGGCGCGGAAGGTCGGGGAGGTGGATTTCCAGGGCCAGGTGCGGTAGGTAGGCGAGGCGAGGGCTAGGAGCACCGCACAGCCGGGGATATGAAGTGCTGATGAGGGGAATCAGGAAAAGGAGGAGGAGAAGAACGCCGTGAAAAGGAAGAGTGTGCTTTGAATGTGGGGTATTTAGGAAGTCGAAGTAACTTGAGGCAATATGCAGCCACCGCCTAAGCCCGGGGGCCCCGGGGCACCAGGATACAGCCCTTTTAATCAGCCCCCGACCTCACAAAATCAACCTTTAGCTCCTCCTGGTACGATCTCGAAGCTCGAGCTTTGCCCTACCTGGTTCTGCATGATGAATGGATTTCTGTGCAGCTCACTTGTCGTTCACCGTGTGTCGATCTCTGATTTGGCCCCTCATGAACGGCTCTCTCTCACTGTGACTCGTTGTGTGATTCAGTCCGGGCAGTGTAGCAATCCTCGAGATGCCTTAAAGCTTCAAATCTAGAAATAATTTAAGAGTTTCTTCGAATATTGATCACTAGCGCACCAAGCTTTGGTTCTTGACAATCTTACTTGATCGTAATGTGCCGAAATCACTCATGCTTACATACCACAATTTTTCTGTAGTTCATATGATCGTCATGGTGCTCCTTTGTCGTCAGCAATGAGATTGTGCCCAACAGCTCGTACTGTCTAATTGGCCTAAGTTCTGCAGTATGACGCCGGCTATATCGTGGTGTCACTTTCAGGTTCTCAAAGGCCAGTACCGCCATGGCAACAGCCTCCCCCTGGACTGGCACAACCATTTCGACCGGCGGGAAATTTCGCGAATCCCCCAGGACCGCCAATGGGAGGTCCTCCTGCAGCTGCACCGGGTGCCACACCGCCAGTCGCAGGACCCGGAGGAGCGAGACCTCCAGGTCCTCCAGGAGCCTTCATTCCTGGACAGAGTGTTAACGCCGTATCAGGACCTCCTCCTCCATCGTTTGCACGCCAACCTTCTGGTCCTCCTCCCCCCGGTGGGTTTCGACCTTCTGGACCCCCACCTCCTACAATCGGAGCATTGATGAGTGCAGGCCAAGGTCCTCCTCAGGGTTCAGGATTAGCTCCACCGCCGACGGGAGTTCAACCGCCTCCTATGGGCAATACATTTGCCCAAGCTGCTTCGCCTGGGAAAATTCCAGGTTATCCATCTCAAGTACCATTAGGACCACCTCCCTCAAGCGGCCCTTTCAGCAACAACTTATCCAATCCAGTTCCACCTCAGTTTCCTGGTCATAGTGGTCCACCTCCCACCTTTTCCACTCCTGCACCAGCACGGCCTCCTTACAACGCTCCTCCACAGATGCTCTCAGCACAGTACGGTCCACCTCAGCCTGGTCCTCAATTTGGGGCCCCTCCCAATAGCTTCTATGGTGCATCATCACCCAATTCCACGCCAACGCAAGCACCAGATGGAAAATTAGGAAACTACGGACCTCCCCCAACGGCAGGATATGGCTACGATCCCACAACAAGAGGTCTCCCTGAAGAATTTCAGTCACTTTCAATGGTTCCACTTCCTGGATCAATGGACGCAGGTGTAGATCCTGGCTTGCTTCCGAGACCATTAAATGACATGGAACCAGTTCCATCAAGCTGGGCGGCTAATTGTCATCCGAGATACTTGCGCCTCACATGCAACTCGATGCCCAATTCTCATTCTCTTGTTTCTCGCTGGCATTTGCCTCTAGGTGCTGTTGTGCATCCTCTCGCAGAGGCTCCACCAGGGGTAAGTGTGATGTTCCTTTTTTCTCCTGAAGACTGGCATTTTCTTTCCTACTGCTGATATGTGGGACGACTTCACCTATCGACTTCATTGAAGAGTTGATGTTGTTTCAAATTCAGGAAGAAGTCCCTGTTGTAAATTTTGGTGCTACGAGTATTGTGCGGTGTCGGAGATGTCGGACTTATATAAACGCATATGTTACCTTCACCGACGGTGGAAGACGTTGGCGCTGTAATGTCTGCGTCTTGCTGAATGAAGGTGAGCATACTACACGTATCAAAGCAAATTTGAGCCGTTTTTTATCCGCCACTTTGTTCCATTGGAAAGTCTCAGAGACCATGGCGGAGCTATTTTCTCTCTTCAATCACTGGAATATATTTTCTAATCTGTTCTACTCATGCTTCTAAATGACGCGAAGCAAACGCGTAATTACATTGCCCATTTGCATTTTGAACGCACAAATTTGTTGTTATGTACTTTTGCTTTCAGTGTGAATACTTAAGAGGTCCACGTTTGAACCTCTAAGCGTGGATACTTTGAGTTCAAATGGATCTCGTATTTTACAGACATTTTCAGATCATACGTACTTGCGATGCGATTCATCGTGCCATTTCATTTCATTCCGAGATTTTAATTAGCTGGAAAGGAGGAAATTAAGGACAACTCTAGTATTTCAAATGGATATTTCGTTGAGGCAGATCAAGGAGATCAAACTGAGCTTGCTGTGCAATTAATCTTTGAGGAGTGAAAGCAGAGTTTTGTTCATTCGTTCATTACACTTTTTAATACAAGTTCTGATGGAGTTTTCAATCTTAACAGTGCCCGTGGAGTACTTCTGCCCGTTAGACGCGAATGGGAAGCGAAAAGATGCTGACGAAAGACCAGAACTTTCTCAGGGTAGTATAGAATTTGTTGCACCGACAGAGTATATGGTGCGGCCTCCAATGCCACCGGTGTACTTCTTCCTGATTGATGTGTCTGCATCAGCGATTAGAACGGGAATGCTGCAGGTATCTTTTTGTCTTAACCACGCATAATCAGAGAATGTGGATCGCCCCACTATGTTTAAAGCTTGTAGATCCGCAGGTTTTTAGGATATGAAGAGAAGTATGTGGATACAGAGGGGCCTAGGCATTACTTACAAATGGATATTTACTGGAAAGTACCTTCTGTTTTCTATATGTCGTTAGCACCGCTCACCATGGCGCGGGTTTATAGTCTTGAAGCTACGGCAGTCAGAATGAGTGCAGTCTTTTACGTTGTTGGATACTATATGGTGGGTTCAAGGTTCACGAGAAGTGGAAAACTTAGCATGGCTTAGCTGTCGCATCAACTCTGGCGCCGCATGTTGAATTTTCAGAGCATGGCGTGACGCCCCAAGATACATGTAAAGGCGGCTTTGGGAATGAGATGGGACTGCATGATACACATGTCTTCTGGATCTTGTAATGCCCAGAAAGTTAGTTCTAGCTCACCTTGTTGCTTTCAATTATCAAATGAACTTATTTGTGGTCGATTTTGGAATCTTTCAGATAGCTTGTGAGACCATCAAGGCTAGCTTGGACAAGCTGCCTGGCTACCCAAGAACACAAATTGGTTTCATAACGTTCGATAGTACTCTTCATTTTTACAACTTAAAGGTGATGATTTTCCGAGATGTATCTTACTGTATATCTTGTTCGTTTTCCTATTTTACATGTCCATATTAGAAAGAGATTTTGATCTTGTTCTGTCCTTCCGTTCTTTCCTTCCGTTCTTTCCATGTTGCATTATTCTTCAGACAGTTCAACCTTTGAAGCGGTTGTAAATGTGCTGAGCCCGATTGTTGCTGTGCAGTCTTCATTGACCCAGCCACAGATGATGGTCGTTGCTGAACTTGACGATCCGTTTTTACCTATGCCGGACGATTTGCTTGTCAACCTTTCTGAGTCACGCGCAGTGGTTGAGGCATTGCTAGACAGTCTTCCTTCAATGTTCCAAAACAATTTGAACATAGAATCGGCTCTCGGTCCTGCGTTGAAGGCTGCTTTCATGGTCATGGTAAGACCACAATTCTCATTTTATGCACAGTTTATATATATTAGATCCATCATAATGCTCTAATTCATATATCACCCACATGTGCAGAACCCGAAGAGCCTGGCCGGGTTTGTCTTGAATTGTTCAAGTTGTTGCCTGTGGCGACTGGTGTATCTTAACTGTGGTAGAGTTTGCTTGCTTTGACTTTCTTTCCCCTTGCTGACATGGACCGTTGGGGAACCAGAGTCAACTTGGAGGGAAACTGCTTGTGTTTCAAAGTACCTTGCCATCTTTAGGGGCTGGTAGACTGAAGCTGAGGGGAGATGACCCACGTCTATATGGAACGGACAAAGAATTCACCCTCCGTGTCACAGAAGAACAATTTTACAAGCAGATGGCTGCTGATTTTTCAAAGTACCAAATCGGGGTGAATATATATGCATTTGCCGATAAATATACCGACTTGGCGTCTTTAGGTAACAGTCATATGCCACCTACAACGACTCGTTCTGGAAGAACCGCCTGCTCAGTGTTTGACAACTATAAAGTGTATTAAGCAGCTAGTGTATTAGCTATAAGTCGCTGAATTTGGTTAATCTTCCGGTGTTCTTACTTAAATTACTTGAGAAGTTGCTATTAGCCATTTTCGTGGCTTGAAACTGAGTTTGTTGTTTCTTCTCTAAAGGTACGCTTCCCAAATATACCGGAGGACAGATTATTCATTATCCCGGGTTTCAGCCCGATTTTCATGGGCAGAAGTTTTCCTATGAACTCGGAAGAGATCTCTCTAGAGAGACAGCATGGGAGGCCGTCATGCGCATTCGTTGCGGCAAAGGTACTATCTCGGAGATTTTATGTATGCTGAACACAACCGGGACTGCTCATGACTAATTCTTTGTTATGTTTTTTGTGAACGTAAGCTAAGCAGAATAGAATTAGATTTCTTTTTCCATTAGTCTTGTATCTGTGAATGCTCTGGTCGCGGGGAAAAGGTCTAATCTCAGATCCAAGTAGAATATTCAACCACCTTCTTATAATTAACCTTATAGCACACTTCAACAGTCCTATTTCCGTACAGGCGCATCAAATTCTTCTTATTCATTCACGGTAGTGTAGTATGGTCCACGTTCGAAGTAGTCTTTCGTCTTCCAACACTTTCTTGTCATTTAGACGAGGAGCTTGTAAAGGGCAAATTAGTCGTTTCCGGAGTCTATGTTCACAGATCTGATCACTCTTTGTCTGTTACAGGAATCAGATTTAGCACCTTCCATGGACACTTCATGCTACGAAGCTCCGACCTGCTCGCACTTCCTGCAGTTGATTGTGACAAAGCGTTTGCGATGCAGCTGACCTTGGAGGACACTTTGCTAACATCACAAACTGTTTACTTCCAAGTGGCTGTGCTGTATCCATCTTCCACGCAGTTCTATGATTCTTTGCATGTCAAAGCATTGCTTCTCACTTCTTGGTCTGTGTCTGAATTTATTGGATGCTTCAACTCCACTGATTAGTTCAGTCTTGCTCACAAAAATTATGTCTTATCGAATATGTCAAGATTATTTTCTTTTATGTATTCGTCTGTGGGCAAGTATGATTCTTTGACAAATTTTTCTTAGATACACGTCATCATCAGGAGAAAGACGTATCAGAGTTCACACCATGGCAGCTCCTGTAACGGCGGATCTTGGTGAGATGTATCGATCTGCGGACGTGGGGGCCATTGCAAGTTTGATGAGCAGACTGGGTAATTTTGCTCGCAATTTGGGTCCTTCAGTATATTCTTTCAAGGCGTCCTTCATGCTCGAGTATAGTATGTAGTGTAAAAACTTGAAACTTGACTTATCGTTTGTGTCTGCAGCAATTGAGAAATCTCTGTCATCAAAACTTGAGGACTCACGTCAAGCGGGACAAGCGAGGTTGGTCAAAAGTCTTCGAGAGTATAAAACTCTATTCGCTGTGCAGCATCGTACAAGTGGGAGGTTGATATATCCGGAATCACTGAAGTTGCTGCCACTATATGTCCTTGCCATCAACAAGTCTTTAGCTTTAAGAGGCGGTTTTAATGAAGTTCAAGCCGATGAAAGATCTGCTGCTGCTTTTGAGATGATGATTATGCCAGTTTCACGCCTCCTAAAATATCTTTACCCTTCGCTATATCGAATTGAGGACTACCTTTACCAGGTAATCAACTCCTTGCATCAATCGTCTTTCGTCCTAAACCCTTCTTGTAAACTTCATTCGATTACACGTACGCTTATGTACTCAGGGTTCTCTCGGTACGAGGTGGGAGTCGGATCTCCGGACAGCTCTCATCCGTTCTGTTCTCATCATGTCCTACTCTTTTCGTCACCGACTTTGCGATCGATGGTTAGGTGGTAAACTTGTTTAAGTAATGCTCGGAATCTTGAAAGAGGAACTGTAAGAAAAGGAGGAAGCTTGAGGTTACGCTAATGGAAGTAAGTTGTATCTGTTCGCAGACTGCCAAGAGCAAAGCGGATCCTGTTGAGTTGCCAGCAGCACTACCACTAACTGCAGAGAGACTTGACCCGCGTGGTGCATATCTCTACAATGATGGTTTACGCTTTGTCCTTTGGGTGGGGAAAGTTTTATCATTGGATTTCGTCGGGCTCCTTTACGGCTCGGAAGCTGCTCAAGCTTCTGACTCAAGCAAGGTATGCATTCATGCATTTGCGAGATAATTGTCGCATTCTTGATAATGCATCTTGTCAAATTCGCCTAATTGCAAGTTTCTATAATCGCTGTTTCCTATAAATATGGCTCAATTAATGTCTCGTATGAAATGCTTACTTTTAGTTTTAAGCATTCAGTTTATGTAGTTGAGTTCTCCCGGGTAGCCACTAAGCGTTTTAAGCCAAATTTACCTTATATATCTGTTGTTCCAGGCCTTTGTTGCTGAACATGACAACGACTTATCGAGGCGTTTCATCGCTGTACTTAATAAGTTAAGGGAAAAGAACACAGCTTTGCATCAGGATTGTCTTCTTGTGAGGCAAGGCGAGCAGCCAAGAGAATCTATTTTACTGCTGCAAAATCTCGTAGAAGATCGAACTGTACAACCATTTGGTTACGTCGATTGGATGATACAGATTTACCGCTCCGTTCAGCAGACCTGATCAGTTAACTGAGGGTGGTCAATTGGCCTTCTGCATAGCTCCTTTGGTGTGCAATGCCTTTCTTTACTCAATGAAAAATTTGATAAATGGGCAAGGTATAATTTTGAGGTGATGGAAAGGGATGGGTGTCAGGATTTGTAAAGGTTGGCGTAATTACTTGGTGTGGTCAAAGATGCCGAAGAGGTATTGAATGGCTGTTTGGCTGTTGTTGGTCCTACTAATCGCTGCTTCTTAGTTTGGGTAAAATAAATGTTCATTAGTATTTCAAAGTATAGGTCAGTAGACCCATTTTTTTTCATCAGTCCTAGGTTCTGTGGGGTCTTTGTGATCCATGCACATTGCTAAATACTGGCACATCGATATATCAGGCATCTATTGTAGAACGAGTACCCCTTTTTCCAAAGACATTTCCTGGCTTTCAGGAGAAGTCGAGTTGCTGAAAATAAAGGAGATATGCAAGGTTGCGATTTTGGGTAGTTCAGAGCTTTGTTGGATTCTTGACGTAAATAGGGGATGTTTATCATTTGCGAGTATCTGTTGGGATTTAAACTTTTCATCTATTGTTTTAAAGAGTTGTTTCCTTGAACTACAGTCGGTGAAAAGTGATCCAAGCGTTTACCACGTTAATGATCCTGTCCCGTTCTATGCTAGAGATATCGTATGTAATGCCACTCACATTGTGCTCTTTCGTTTACACGAATTATGCAGTCCTCTCTCTGGATACTGTTGTTTCTGTAAACCTTTCCTTTCGGCTATCTGGAGTTGTTTTGTAATTTTGTAATTGGACTTGTAATTTTTATTGCAATTTTATTTGCATAGAGTTTATTGTCTGCATTGAATTATTCAGTGTTTCTTCTCAGTATGGATTTTACGCAGTCCATCTATGTAACGAAAGTACATGTAGTTGTAAAATCTTCAGGTTTTCAACCTAGGCGTCACCACTCACTCCGCTGTTACTTCTATGGTTGACCTCCTACAGTTCTCTACAACACCCGCCAATTTCCGGCATATTTTATGGTGCATATTTGGTATGTCCCATATTTCAAGAATAAATTAGAGTGGTTAATACATACTCAGTGCCAATGCTTTTTTCATCCTCATCTACTAGCCTTTTTTTTTTTTTAACGAACTTCTTGTCTACTCGATGATTACAGGTTCTATCCATATTTTGCATTAGATACAGAATTGCACACTTTGGTGAAGGCTGACGGTTTGTTACTTTCCTAAAACAAGAACAATGAACGTGGTATACAAACAGAAAATGCCAACTTCACATTTTATGTAGCATGGTCACATATGTTCCATGAGGTTGAGGGATTGTAAGTGGATTTAAACATAGTACTGGATATCACTCATCATCTACGTTTTTCACAGTCTGAAGCATAATGAATGTGAGAGAAGTGAGATAATCGTTCATTATGTCGATCCAAATTGATTTTCACGAAAAGTTCATGGCTTTTATGGAATGACAAGAAATCGCACGGCAAACGTTGGAATATTTCAGAATTATCATACGTGTTGGATGTTTATTATGCACAATGCCTCGAAGAACAGCACTTTAGTATTACATCTAAGGGACTCTATTGCTGATTATTGATTTGTGAAGGATATTCAAAGGTTTGGAACGCAAGTGATTCAATGATGTTTATCATACATTATTGTTTTGGGAAAAAGTTTGAGGAAAGACAAAAAGCTATAATCTTCAGCAAAAATGGTAGTTCCTTTGACCTTGTAGACTTGGCAATTGTAAAAATCTAATGCCAATTTTGGATATCTCAACCAATTGGAACTCAACATAATATATGTTTGAAAGAGTAATTAAAGTTCATAGCAACATCAAGAATTGTAACTCAACATAATGTAGGTTTGAAAGAGCAATTAAAGTTTATAACAACATCAAGAATTGGTTACTTATAGATTTTCAAATTAGAAATATCAAACTGCAATTAAGTGATTATCAATGGCGAACATTTCAAAACATTTGTGATCACCTAAAAAAGTTTGAAGAGTACTCGAAATTAATGTGAGGCGAAAGTATCCAACATTCTCATTTATAATGACTTTGTTTGTCAAATTGTTATAATATATTGAAGTACTAGTGTTTATATACAGCTCATCTGAACCCAATGAAGAACGTTTTTTCCAATGAACATCAAGTTCTCTCCAAATACTATTTGTTCATGGATGATTCTTATTTCTATATGCTATCTATAATTTTGAATCCGAGATTTAAAAAACAAACCTTGAGTAGAAAGAATTTGAGCCGCTTTATTCAATGTTTGATCAATACTACTGTTACGTTGTTGAAAAAGTTGATGAATTAGATAAAAAATGCTTTGTGGCATTGATAAGATCAATACATTCAAATGGTTCTCCCACATGAACCTCACAGTAAACTGTATTTATGGAAATGTTTGTTCATTGCAATGCAAATAATGAAACTCAAGATGATGTTGACAAATATATGATATGTCAACAATGTAAAGATACTATTGTTGACCCGAAAGTTCATGAGAAACAATTTTTCATTAGCACCGTTAATACAACAAACATTATTTCTATACCGGTGTTGTAAGTGCATTTTCAATTGCAGGTGTGATGTGATTTGTCTACGAAGTCACTCTCTCGCTTCCGGACTTTGAGTACTTTGATGTTTGGAAAACTTGTTTTGAAATAATTTGCAATGAATATATCAAACCATTTACTTTTGTCTAAAGGATATCCCGCATTCTATGTGAATTTCACCCAAGCTGATTCCGATTAAGACCCAAATTCAATCTGAATCTGACTCGATCGGAGTCCTACTTGACTATTTCATATTTATGCATGTTTAAGCTATGTCATGATTTATACAACCACTTTTAATATTTTAATCAACATATGTGGTTTAGAAGGTATTTTACTGACATCATTTTTTACCTCATTATGGATAGAAGAGGTTAAATCTTGGACAAATCTATTCACATGCAAATTTACTCTTCATACTGATCAAACTCGTCATTATGATCTTTATTCACATAATGATCAAACTCCTTCAATCTCCACCACGACCAGTGCTCTTTCTTGATCATGAATCACATAATGATTAAACTCCCCACAACCTGATCCGTGAGCGGAGATTTTCTCTTATTAGTATGAAAGACTAGAAACTCTCCCCCTCTTTTAATAGCAAGATCTCATTGAAAAAAACATTCTTACTTATAAAAAATTCCATAGGGTACTAGATTCCATAGCCTATAAAATTGCTCTTCCAAAACATGAATATTGTTGTCACACAATCTATGACATATTGCGTTGTAATCTCATCCGGTCAAAAATCGAGATACAAATTTAAATTCCAGGCAATTTTCTCCGTTTGGATCATATTTCAACTCCTAAAAGTGGTATAGATGTTTTAATTGCATCGACGAAGATTCTTGCAAACACAATATTCTATCATCATCATTTTCACCGTTAGTCTTGGCTGTCATAATCACCGTCACCCACGACCGTTCTCATCACCATCGTTTGATCATTGTCATTGAATGCCCGTTGACTACGTTATCATGCCGACCACGATTGGCCTAGCCGACAGCGTTCATCCTTTGACCACATACAACTTTCAACCACGTTTGGTTTTAGACCACGTTTGATCTCTAACCACGTTCGTCTATCGAGCGTAGTTTGTCCTCCTAACATGGTTCTACTCCGATCGCCGTTGACCTAGCCGACGTGGTTCTCTCCTTCTGCAATTGGCCCAGCCGATCATAGTTGACTTGCCTATCGCGGTTGCTTTGATTAACGTGATTATCCTCCGACCGCAATTATCCTAACTATAACGATTGGCTCGACCGACCGCGGTTGTCCCGCTATACTTGAAAAGTGACCTATACATATCGTTAGTCCTCTAGCTCTGTTAACATTCCGGCTATAATCTCGCTACTGTCACTACGGAGATGAGACATCACCTTGCTGCTTGGCCCTATCCTGCCGCACCGCGTGGGAGAAGTGGATGGAGAAGAGAACCGGAGGCTTGCAAACTCCACACAAACTCTCACTCAAGTTTATGTCACATGGCTTTGCGATAATTCATCATGGTTATAGAAGTATTATCCTTCATGATACTGTCCCAAACACTCGCTCACACATTCACTCAATTCATCACTCAAATTCACCTACACATTAATACTTAAAGATATTGAAAATTGTCACTCTTTCATATATGAAATAAATCTCTACACATGAACTCTCCAAGTTTGCTTGAGAGTCTCTATACTATCTCTTTCTATATATATATTAATTATTTGAAACTTTACCATAATAACAAATGATAATTTTTATCTAACTTATTTTTACAAAGATAAACCATAGCAAATTTAACTATTTATCAATATGTAGCAACATAAACCTTTTAGATATCTACTAATTTCTAGATTGAGGTGATGACATGCCATTTATGACTTTTTAACTTCTAGAATCTCCACTTGCCATTAGGTTAACATTAGACTTAGTCTAACCAATAAAGTTCACATTACATAGTCAAATCAATCAAAACTAAACATGAAGTCAAAAGTCTAACCTATTGGAATCTAGAATTTTTTTACAAGATAAAATATAAGTGCTCATTCAAATGTCCTAGATATTTTATAATTATTATTCCAAGTATAGATATTATAGCTAAAATTAATTATAACTTGATAATATCAGTTATAACTAGTTAGACTTAGTCATAACTAAACTAACAATGATTAACTTTTTTGACTACTTCTAGTTCTATTTCCCCCTTCAACATCGGATCTTAAAGACCTTTGTTTGTTCTGTGTACACTGTCCTGCAAGGATGAGATCTCGAGATTTGACTCGAACTGAAACTGAAATTTTTTGTTACCGCAGAAAACAACGAGCGTTGAACAAATCACAGCTCTGAAAAAACCACTATTAGTTTTGCAATCTCCTGAACGAGAAAAAAACACTTTTACAAACATCACAAAAAACCGCCAGTAACAAAAATTTGTCAAATAATCAAATTTTTGTCACCTTTTAGATATTGTCAAAAATTTTTGTCACAACCCAATCACATTGATCATTTCCTGAATATAGAATACCCTTTTCAAAAACCACTCCCGAATCAATCAATCCTATCTTCCAAACACAGCACACAACTGTCACAAGCTCCAAATCGAAACCATTTTTTTGACAAAATTGTCATTTAAACATTGACTTCTCACTGAAAACCATGAGGAACAAATATTGAACCAAAAAACTAAGAAAAACATGGAGACTTCAAACCTAAATCAGATGACACTCCGAATCGAAACCATTTTATTGTCATAAACAAGAGCTACTTCACAGGTTCTAAATTGAAAATCAGGTTAGACGTCTCATGAATTCCGTGAAACAAAGTCATAAATGTCGGTCACATATTCCGAATCGGAACAGGCTCTAATACCACTTGTAAACATAAGACACTAGAATCATTAGTGATACCCTCAATGAATGAAATCATCAACAGGAGAGACCAGCGTATAATGTGATTCACCTTGAAGTACTATCTTGTAATACACATATCATTATATGTACCCAACACCGAAGACCAATCTTCGTTATAAATAACTAGATATGAAATTTTTCATATCTAGTTATCGCTATTGAGTTAAACTCAATAGTTTAAAAAAAAATTATAACTTATTCTAGGGCTTCATAATAAAATTATAGTCACTTTTATCAACATAATCAATGTGCTTTGAAGTGTGTAAAAGTTATGCACACCAAGCTACAAGCAGGATTATCACGATAACATAATTTACAAATTTTTTTAAACAACTCGTATATATTGCTCTAAAGTGAACATTATTTGGTTCAAATGCATACGAATAAAATCGTCGCGTGGATGTGCAGGCGTTCAAGCAATGCTTAGTTCATTTCACTGAGACAGTTGCGATAATGAGATGGAATATATTATCCATTTTAGTACTATGACAAAATATTTCTTTAAAACCTTTGAATTTACCCAAGTAAGATTGGATGGGGTACAGTACTCCTATCTTTGCTATACTATTCTGTTCCCCTTCGCTGAGTCGAGGCTGAACCCTCGACCAAGAGATGTGCAGCGAACTCTAACCAGGCGGACAGCATCGAAGAAGTCCGGCGGCTGAGCTGCTGATGGATGAGAATTCTGAAGCCGAGTATTTTCTGCATTCCTTGACGTAGACAGACAGTGCGAGCACAATAAATAGTACGAGAGGGTATTATAGCAATAATACGCTCCAGGTGCTAATTCGACTTTAATTCGGATCCGGACAAAAGGTTTTATCACTCGAGCTTGCGCTCGAAGCGCCGTCGAAGGGCGGGAACAACGTGAGTTGACACTGGCACCGGACACGGGGCATGAAGAAGCCGCCGCTCGGAAGCAGAAACACGATCGACGCCGTCGAGGATGTCAATGTGTCGGCAGCTTGCTGTCGGGGAAGAGACGGCGCATCCATGGCCGGTTGATTCGACCGCATGCGGCCCCAGCGCTGACTGCCAGCCCCTGACGCAATCGAGCCGCGAGCTCTTGAGCGAGTGCGTGAGTGCGTGGGAAAGCTCGTGCGATGCGAAGTTGCTGGCTGGTTCGGAGTGGAGGTGGAGCGAGGATCGCCGAGAGACTAGAGTCTAGTCTAGCTAGGTCGTCTCCTCTTCTGGCTCTGAATTCCGTGGATTGACTTTTCCAGGGCGCAGGGATTGATGATTCGGAGCTCGAGGATTTATGATTCGGAGGTTTGAGTGATGTTCGAGGGTGGGGGAATATAGGGATTGGAATTTTGAGCCAGCGCGTGAGGCCGGAACGGCAGCGATGGGCGGGGTCCGTGGTATGAAGCCTCGGGCGTGCTTCATGCTGGTGGTCTTGGGATTATTGTTGGAAATCGGAGCCAGCGGAGGATCGCCTGTGTCCGAGCGGGAATCTGCTGTTAGTCTGATCCGGGGGAAGGCGCGGAGGCAGCGGCAGAGCTCTCAGGCGTATGCTACTCTGTTGTACGGGGATGAGTTTCTTCTCGGAGTGCGTGTGCTGGGCAAGTCTATCAGAGATACAGGGGCTGACAAGGATATGGTGGCTTTGGTTTCGAAAGGAGTTTCCCCCGGAGCTATGGAGCTGCTGGAGGTCAGTTTTGTTCCCGTTTGATCCTGGAAAACTATTTCCATATTGTACTACCATTACAAGTCGTCGGATGGATCACTTTTTCTCAATTGATTCAAATGTTTGGAAGAACTTATCTGTGAATTTTGAACCCTTGTGCGGATTCTTAAGCTGTGTGATTCCGGTGACGTTGTTTTCTCACGTTTTTACACGAAGTGTTGCCGAATTATCAGCTGTTAGACTGTGTTGGGCTGTATCAAATGATGAGAGGGAGATATGTTAGCTCTGTTTCTAGTGCGTCTGCGAGGTAGCGCTCAGTGTTGGAGCTCACCCTCTTCTCAATGGGGAAGTCTTGGATGGGTTGCAATCGTTGAGTAGAGGTGAATGTAGACTGAATGAACTTACTTTGAGGGTCGCAGGCAGACGGATGGATAGTGGAGCACATAGATCTTTTAGAGAATCCCAATTCAAAATCCAAGCGACCAGCACGTTTCTGGGGTGTTTACACGAAATTAAAAATCTTCAACATGACGTCCTATCATAAAGGTGCTTTCTCGATTCGTTTAGAACTTTGTCCTTTACTACTCTTCGTGAGCTTCATTCTTCCTCTCCTGGTGGACTTCTTCTTGTGAAGGTCTTCGTCAAGTTAGCCATGAACAGTGTTGATCTTCATCTCTACCGCACTTCGACGATGTATGCCTCTCACAGTTGAGTCAGGAGCTACACGTTGGAACCTGACTATTGCTGTTTGCTTGTCATTCAACAGTGGTGTATTTGGATGCTGACACAATCGTGACCAGAAGTATCGAAGACCTGTTCCTTTGCCAAAAGTTTTGTGCTAATCTCAAGCACTCTGAGCGACTGAACTCGGGGGTCATGGTCGTCGAGCCTTCTCGAGAACTCTTTGAAGATATGCTGGCTAAAGTAACAGTTTTGAAATCATACACCGGAGGTGCGCTCGGCTTGCGAGTTTGTTTTAGGCCGTACAGGAAGCATGTATATTATTTGTTCGAAGACTGGAAGTAGAGTTTGTATCACGAAACCTGAAGCTTGGATTTCTTCCTTGTTGTTGGTGTTGTCATTGTCTTTCAAATCGCTGTATTCAGTGTTTGTAAAAGATTCTTCGTGCATGATTACTCAGGAGATCAGGGGTTCTTGAACTCTTATTACGAAGACTTTGCCAATGCACGACTGTTTGATCCTAATATGTCACCGGAAGAAAGAGAAAAGTATCATCCAGAGATGGAGCGTCTGTCTACACTGTACAATGCAGATGTTGGACTGTATATGCTTGCGAACAAGGTGTGTTTCGATCTTGTGACGTCAATTTTTCTTGTAAGATCATGTCAGTTTTATCCACCAACTGGAAGTTTACAACTTGCAGTGTGACCGTAATTTTTCTATCTTCGATCATTTATTGTAAGACTCTAGCGAAAATGATATTCGGCTTATTTGAAAGTGCTCATCTGGATTTTTTCAGTGGATGGTGGACGATGAAAGTGAGTTGCGGGTTGTGCACTACACTTTAGGACCTTTGAAACCTTGGGACTGGTGGACTCATTGGCTCTTGAAGCCCGTCGATCTCTGGCAGGTGTGTATTACGTCTCGGGTTTACTCTAGGTTTTGTTTTGTTGTCAATTGTCATACTTGATTGTTGTTCTTGTTGCGATACTCATATCTAAGTGATTTCTGTTTGCAGAACGCTCGTGTGACACTGCAAGAATCTCTTCCAGGGACTAGAGCCGGCCAAAATTCTCACACGCGTCTCGTAGTTCGAGTTCTATTTCTGATACCTTTGATCATCCTGGCCTTATGTAATCGTCGCTTGTTGTGCCAGGTAATTTCAATCATAGTAACAATAATGGATAATATGTAACAGGCATCTGCCGCTCCAGTAGTAGTGTCTTTTGAAAATGCGACTGGTGGGTTTAAGTTGAGAGTAGTAAGATGGTTTGGTTCCACGTACGTTATGAGGAAATATGATTTTTAGTAGGGTTAGTACTGACTAATTTGAACACCTTACCTTCATTTGCAGATCCACCAGGATATTTGTGGTCTCTTGTGCACTGGTTCTTTCTGTGGGTACGCTCGCCAGTTGTGGTACAAGTACACAGCCGGTAGTGCCTTGCCGATTTACTCAAAGATGACTGGGAGCCCGTCAAACCCTTCATGTGGTCCGGTAAGCTATCTAGTAGCATGTCAAACTGGGCTTTGTAAATCTATTATCAGCCGCTTGAGAGTAATCATTAACAAGTATACTGTCCAACGCATGAGTAAATTGTGGTGTGATGTGCAGTACGTCACTGGTAGTGGAGGAACTCCGGGCAACACAAGATTGCCCACTTATTTAGGCAGTCTCTCAGTTGTGATGTCTTTTATATGCGCGCTTGGATCCTTCGCAGTTGCCGTTCTCCTCATACCCCACCAAGTAAGTATATCTTAAGCTGTAGTATGTGGCAAGGCTCATTGGATATTCTTGACGTAAAGAAGATGGACTCGTTTTCTCGTTCTGTGTGCCACCATATCTTGAGAAGCTGGATTATTTGTATTGGATTCACACTATGTTCGAGAGATAGGGGTTCTTTCCGTCCGCAGGGAAGTAATGCTGTGTTTATCGGTTCGGAATTGACGACCAGGATACAAAGTTGAGACTGCTCTTTCTCAACTATGACTGTAAGGCTTTCTAACATGTTTTGAAACAGGTTATGCCATGGACAGGAATGATTCTGGCGTATGAATGGACTTTCTTCTTATTCATCGTCTTGTTTGGAAAGTATTTGGATGTGTTGTACGGACTTGGAAGATCCTCCGCAACAGTGGCCTTTGCTTCAACCCCTTCCAGTCCAGATGCCTCGACTTACAACTCTGGAAAGGGCAAGTTATCTTTGTCACTTTCCTCGTTGGGCATATTTGGCTTGTTGCAAATTGATCCCAACGCCTTGAATTTGAGTTCACTGCAGTCTGCGCTTTAAGAATGTTATGTTAAGTACTTCATATCGAAGACTGATCACGGAGTTGTCAACCTACTTCTTTCGAAGTTCCAACATTCTCAACTGAAACCTAGTGCATGAACCTAGTGACGTTCCAAGTGAAGAGAAGTGTCGAAGGATAATTTTGGATCAAACTTTGAGAGGCAGACACGACAAGTTGGAACGAGATTGGTGGTTTCAGCATTCCAAACTCCCGGTCTCTTCCCTACCTGGAAGCATCGAAGACTATGTTGACTTCAAACGACCAGAATTGAAGCTGCAGTCATTCGTAGTCTGGTACTTTGTCGTTGCATTTATGACCGAAGAGTTACTTGGAAGAAACCTTAGTACAGTTTCCTTATCCGGAAGTACCTACGAGTACGTCCAGATCCACCCTCACATATATATTCCACCCCTGCAACGTTAATGAGTGTGAAGAATATAAATCTTACGGCAAAGGCTTTCAATCATGAATATTGCAATTTGGAAGTTGATAAGTGCCGAGGATGAGTATTTCCTGAGGACATAGGACTTGATATAGCCAATTCCTTGCTGTATCCACCTTGATATGCCATTAGCAGGCACAGGAACAGTGGATGTACAGAATTTCTTGTATAAGCGGCGCAGTTGTCTTCGATCGGTTCTGCAAAATTTGGTTTATGATTTTGATCGATTTGTGGTTTGTACAGTCAGTGAGGGTTAGGCCTAGAGTTAAGTTCATGCCAATTCACCTTCCGTTCTTTGTCATTGGCCACAACTTTAGAGCTACCGCTAAAACAACATAGACACGGTAGTGAGATTTCTGTTCTTGTGTGCAGGTCATAGTCGTTCTACAGTGTTTTGGGATGCCCAGACGGTAATCTATGGGCTGGGAATGGCAATCCTTGCAATGGCCATCCCCGCACTTCCTTTTATGTTGGGAGTCAGCGCTCTCTTTGGAAGGTAGGATCTTTTGTTTCCTGACTCATCTGATTTGTATCAAAGCTGTGTATACATTATGACTCTTTGTCTTTATATGTAGGTTCACGGGTTGATCCACTACTTGTTCTTGGTATTTGCAGATTGGGATTGATGATTACCATGGGATTAGTGTTGGCTGCTTTTATGACATATGCTTCCGAGCATCTTGCGATTCAATGGTATCTGCGAGGGCGAGAGGAGTGGAATCAGGCTCGGGCACAGTCAGTTTGCTGCGGCGTATGCTGACTGAACCAGAATGATGCGTTCCGAAGAATATACAGTTCTAGTCCCAGTATGGTTTGCGAGCTTTCTTGGGCTGTAGGTCAAAGGTGTCTTTCGGAGGAGCCAAAATAGTGATGAACTTGCACATTGCACAGAAAATCACCACAGAAGACCATTGTAGCTGTTTACAACCCTAGAACGCAACTGCAGATGAAATGTTTTCTGTGATAGACGGTTATCACAGAGCACCTACTTTGGGTCCAGAACATTTACGTTTTTCCGGTTAGTTAGTGTTAAGTGTGTAGAATTAGGCTCAAAAAAGGGTATTCTTTGAAGATGTTCGAATCACAATGAGTGGTGTATATTATTGATCGAAGAGGACTCGTCTCCTGATGATTTTCCATCGGTTATCAGTAAGTGAAGGCAAGGTACTACGCTTTCAAGGAAGGAAACCTTGTACATACGCAAACCGAGCATAGTTTGGAATTTTCATCTTTTATAATTGGTTGAAGCTGAATAACTTTCAGCGATTTGGGCAAGAACATGCAGATCTGTTGACGACATATTCCTTACTGGCTGTTTGGAATTGATCTATCCCACACTGTTTTTTCTTCAAAACTGAAACAATGAATAGGATGTCTTGGGCATGTAACGAATATTAATGCAACAGTAGCACATTGCGGTGCATCTTGTGGTTCCAAATGATATTGTTGTGTCCATCAGCATACTGATGGACACAACAATATATATGGTTTATGGCGTTGTTGATTCGTGGTCTTCTTGCCTGGTTCATACCTCGTTTCAAGGTCACTAATCCTGCTAACTGATGCGTGTTGTCTTTTAGAACATCTTCTTTCGAACACTTTTCTCCAAAATGGAACCTTTGTGCGATTTGAACAAATGTTGAAAACAGGAGTTTGAATGTATTTCAAGGGTAGAGTAGTGAATCAGTCTCTACGATTTTGATCGTGACTCTAGAAAGATTAATTCTTTCAGGTCTTCCGAATGCTGCCTAAATATGATCATTTCCCATTGGCATATCCTGATGCGTCCATAATCATGTCGCTGCTGATGGGAGTCATAGCTTTGTGGATGGATTTTCGGGATATACCCCGAGTGTAGTGGAGAGCAAGTTTTGAAGATAAGTCTACTCTCCCGAAGATGGGGAAGTCACATAAAGCTATCCCACACATCAGTAAAGGTTGTCATCGCAAAGTAAAAGTAAGATGCAACCCCGTGCGCCTTTACTCAACTTCTTGCGAACCGGAAGATGTACTAACTTTCAGGTTGGTTTGGAAGAAAACTTGAGGTGAATGAGTATCTGGAAGTGGGATTGGTATTCTTAGATTCATACAATCTCACAACAATCAGCCTCTGAAGGGTACTTGCTGCCTTGATCATATTTGTGGTTTAACAATGAACATTTGTACTAGAAGGATATAGATCTTCCTCTAAGTCTACTTCAAATGTTGAAATTCCAGTCGTTATCTATGAGTATAGTTCCATCTGTCTTCTTCCCTTGCAACTTACAACTTCCGGTGGTGGTTCAGCCGTCCAAGGGAACCTCCAAACCCATCTATACGTCTTCTACTTATCTCTTAAATAGAAGTTTGCATCGTTTCTTGCCATTCACAGCCCAGTGTTGTGTGCAACACCTTTTGTTTCTCACTAAAATCGTCGTGAATGTTCATTACATCTTAATATCACTCCAACTACCTATGAAAAGTCAGAAGACCTTGGCTAGCGAATAAGGGAGTGTAAAAAGTCAAGCAGTTATACGAAGAGATCTGCCATATAAAAGTAGACAGAAGTGAAGTTCATAGTGGCAAAAAAGATGCAACAACTAGAGAGCATCAAACTTCAGCGTTGCGAAGCGACTGTATAGGAGGCCCATGGAGGATTAGGTGTGATGAAGAGGAGGCGGAGCCGGAATTGGTTAAACACAGAGCTCTATACAAACTAGGATCAGCAGTGAGAGAGAGTTCCAATACCGAAGCAGCTTGAATGACTTCATCGTTGGCCTTGACGTCTGGAAGTCAAAACTCTTATCTAAAGGGACGCAGGCAGCTCCTGAGTATAGAGGTGGTGTTTTTGTATTCTCTTATCGGATTCAACTCTCTAACTTATTCCACATTGAGATTTAATCTCCTGCTGGATTCTGCCAGATCATTTTTTTGATTTCATTCCGTCTAAGCTCTCTACTAACTTATTCATTTATTAAGTTATTTCAAGTTTTGATTAACTCAGATCAGTTTGATTATGCTTAGTTAGACTGTGTGAACTACTGATACATAAGAAAACTAGTAGTAACTGTATGCAAAGCAAAATAGAGTTTTGAGGAAATGAATGTACCTATTTGATGGACTTAGCCTCAATTAAGAGAAACACATTTTTTTTGTATCGACTTTTTTAGAAATGATTTTCACTGTATTTTGATTCGTACGGCATGTATAAATTTAACAAATATGCATAGTATTTTATTTAAACTTTTTTCTCCTTGAAACCATCTACTATACTGATTCTCAGACTTTGTGTCAAATCACTACTTGCTGTTGTGAGCACAGATCATTTAATTCATATCAAATTTTTCATTTGATATAACTAAGCCATTCCATAGTCAAACATATATAACCAAAATATAAAAAAATATTAATAATATGTACTTGACTTCCAAGCATAAAGTTTCAATACATCGCTTGTAAAAACTTCACACCAATACATTTGAATCTTGCCTCATAAATAATCGTAATCCACTATATGCAACTAAAATATATCGTTATATGCAACAAGAATTCTTGATTCATTATGCACACACAATTTGTTGTAATTCATTTTCAATGATTTTGCTAGGTTAACTCTATCTTGGATTAACTCCAATTAGTGGTAACCATGATTAGGGAGTTATTTGTGGTTAGGTTAGATTAGGTATTATGTGCTCCTTATTTCTTTTTGTATAGAAGAGAGAAGGTGACTCTCTCTGCGTACAGTTCAGGATAGTATCAAGAGAGTGAATAGGTTGGAGTAGCTATGGAGGCCGTGTAATCATACGTTCTTTAGTGAAACTCCGCTCTTGCCCGTGGACGTAGCCTGTGAAAGATGAACCACGTTATCTCAGTGTTGTGACTATCGTGTGTGTTGATCAATATGGATGTTTGGGCCTTTCAATTGGTATCAGAGTTCATTCAATGCACGATGATTTCTGATTTCCACATTTTTGTATAGAAGGGAGGCGCGGAAGCGCTTTCAGAGATTGTACTCGCAATTTGAGAGATATTGTTCGCTGATTCTTTGTAAAAGACTAGTTAGAGGAACCAATTTCACTTTGATGAAAGAAGTAGAAAGTTTCATCGAGTGATTAGAAAGATTTTTTGGAAATTGAAGCTGAAAGCTCTCTTACAATCTACTGTGAGAGAAACCACTTTGTTTTTCCAAAATCTGAATTTTTAGTTACCAAATTTTCCAAATCTGCATAGATAGTACTGATGTACTATTTGAGAAGATCATTTTGACCTAAAGTTCGTTGAATTTTGATGGCAGTTCGCAAAGTTACGAGTGATTGAAGATTTATATCAATTCTTGTTAGTCTGATTTCACAGTGTCGTAGTTTTGGAGGGGTTTAAGGGTGCTCTAACATCGTTGGAAGTAGATCCAAGATAGTGGGGTCGGAAGGTACCCGAATTAGTTGGGTCGTAAGACGAAACGTCCAACCAAGTTGCACAGTGAGAGTAAGCTGCATAGAGAAACTGTGAGAAATCCTTTCACAAAAGAATCAAACAGAGAATTGATTTTTTGGCATTTTTGGTGGATTAGGCTATGCAAATGATATCCGTTTGAGCTCAAATTTTACAGCTTGATTCTCAAGCTAGTTGAGCACGTATTTCAAAAGATGGTTTTGGAAATAGACTTCAAGTAAAGTTTTGGTGGGAGAGATTACCTTGTGGGGTCTAGATTCAAGTTTTTACCCCCCTAAACTCGGGGATTAATAAATTTTTATTCAGAGTTGATTTTGACAAACCGTTTTCACATTCCAGTGTGTTAGCTTGTGTACTACGCGTGAGTGGTCTCAAATTTTAATTTTGAAAAAATTCATTTTTGACGTTTTTTGGGGCTAAGTGTTGAGAACGGTTAACACGGTAAGCGCTTTATGGTCATGAGTAGCTTTGAGCGAGGAATGAAACTTGTTCCAATTTTTGCTGAAATTGCCGGAACCCTGCATTCAGACGACAAAAGTGAGGAGTCAAGCTTTCTCTCTTAGTATCCAGTTGAAGTCATTCCGGAACGTCTTTAGTCGATCAAACCTATGGCGCTATCTAAGGTTGGTGGACTGAGGTTTGAAGTTGAACGGTTTGATGGCCGTACCGATTATCTCCTATGGGAACAACAAGTCAAGAATGTGATCAAGGCAATGGGCTTGGGGAAGGTTCTCAAGCCTAAATCTTTGAATGTTGATGACGAGGATTGGAATAAGATCCAAGATCAAGCTGAGTATTGTCACTCTCTACTTGAAGCCAAATGTGTTGAAACAAGTGAAGGAGTTGGAGATTGTAACAACTATGTTTCAAGCGCTTCAAGCGAAGTATCACATGAAGGAGTTGTCAAATTGACTTTTCACATCGTTAAAGCTGACGAGCTTCAAAATGGTGGAAGGTACAAAGATCCAAGACCTCATTGTTGCTTTCAATGATTTGTTGGTGGATCTTTTGAGTTTAGGTGAGGATTTGAGTGATGAGAAAAAAACATTGCAGCTTTTAAGTTCCTTGCCAGCATCATATCACACTCTATCTCGTGTGTTGCTTCATCGAGACAAAGAGAGCATCACATACAACAAGGTAGTGACAACTTTGTTGACGGACGACATCCAACAAAAGCTGGTTTCTTCTTCAACACCTTCTTCTTCTTCTACCGCTCTCTATGTCACTCGTGGGAGATTGGAATAATGATCTATTAGCGTTAGCAAGTCGCGAAACCGATTCAAGTCAAGGGAAGGTAACAAGAAAGAGATGAAGTGTTGGAAGTGTGGCAAGTCGGGCCACATGAAAAAGTATTGCCGTAGTAAGCCACATGAGAAGAGAAAGGAATATGTTGGTCCCTCTACAAATGTTGTGACCAACAATGATGAAGACTATGTCTTGTGAAACTCTTCCCTTACCGTGAGAGATGAATGGATTTTAGACTCCGCTTGCTCTTATCACATGTGTTTTATCCGAGATTTTTTTAGTGTTCATATGAGAGTTCATATGTAGAGACTTGTTTCATATATGAAAGAGTGACAAATTTTCAGTACCTTGGAGTGTTGATGAGTGTATGAGTTGGAGTGATACCTTGAGAGATTGTGTGAGAGGGTGTTTAGGTTATTAGTATGATGCGGAATCCTAGTCTTCTAGAATCATGGTGAGCTACCGAAAAGCCATCTGAGGTAAACCTTAGTGAGAGTCAGCCCGGAGGTTGCAGCTCTCGACTTAAGCTCTCCGATTATCCAAGATTTTCTCACATCCACGCGACAAAACTCCGAGAAAATCTCAAATTGTCAACTAACTGCTCGCACGAGCACTCACAAACCCGTCACCTCCCAGTTGGGCTCTTATACCATTTGTTAAACATAGAAGGCATACATAGTGAGACATACACGCACGAGAGAAGT